CCAAGCAGCATCAGAGGAGCAGGAACGCTGACGTTTCGGGCCTAGACCCTTCATCCCGAAACGTCAGCCTTCGTGCTCCTACGATGCTGCTTGGCCTGCTGTGTTCATCCAGCTCTACACCTTGTTAGTCCATTATTCTAACCAGTTTCTGGAATTAGAATTCCTACAGTGTGGAAGCAGACCATTCAGCCCATCGAGTCCACACCAACCCTCCAAAGAGCATCCCACCCAGACCAACATCCCCGCCCCACCTCTAACCCTGTAACCCTGCATTTTCCAATGGCCTGGACACAATTCTGTATTATGCTGGTCCTAGACTCTCCAACAAAGGGAAGCAGACTTTCTGCAATTGTCCTGTCAAGTTCCCTAAGAATCTTATATGTTTCAGTAAGGTTGCTTATCATTCTTCTGAACGTCATGGGTACAGGCCTTGCCTACTCAATTTCTCCTCATATGACAGTCCTTTCTTACACATGATCAAACTAATGAGCGTCGTCTGGACTGCCTCCAGTGCCAGTCTGTCTTTTAGATAAAGGAATCGAAACCTTTCACAACATTCCAGCTGTTGTCTAACTTGTGCCTTGGTTAGTTTTAACAAGATCTCTTTATTGTTATAATCCATTCCCATTGAAATAAAAGGCAACATTGCATTTGCCTTCTTTATTACCTGCTGAATATATATGCTAGCTTTTTGTGATTTATGCATGAAGACTCCCAAATCCCTTTGTGCTTTCGCTTTCTGCAGTCTTTATTCATTTAAATAATATTCACTTCCTCTATTCTTCTGATCAAAGTGCATGACCACTCATTTTCCCACATTATAATCCATTTGCCAAGTTTTTGCTTAACCTGTCTGCTTTCTCTCTGCAGACTCTTTTTGTCATCCTCACCACTTGCCCTCCCATCTATTTTTGTGTCATCTGCAAACTTGGCTATAGTACATTAACTTCCCTCAACCAAGTTATTAACATATATTGTAAATCATTGTGGTTCCAGCATTAGCGACACCCCACTAGTTACAGGTTGCCATGCCTTTCTGAAAATACCCTCGCTCTGCCATCTCAACTCTCTGTTTTCTATTGGTTAGCCAGTCCTCTACCAATGAGTTCTTACCTTTTTCATTAGGCTAATGTGTGGTAACTTATCAAACATTTTCTGGAAATCCTTGCATCTATTGCTTTCTATTTATCTATACTGCTTGTTACCTCCCCAAAGAATTCTAATAAATTTGCCAGGCATGATTATTTCCCCTATCATGCTGATTCTGCTTGATCATATTATGTGTTTTTAAATGCTCTGCTATTACATCATTCATAATAGACTCTTAATATTTTCTCAATAATAGATGTTAAGCTCAGTACCCTACACTTGTCTGTTTTTTCTCACCATTCCTTACTTAAAAGGTGCTGACTTGGCAGTTTTCCAGTCTGCTGAGACTTTCCCAGAATCTCAGGATTCTTGCAAGATTACATTCAATGATCCACTATCTCAGTTGTAAAAGTGGAAATTGCAGCAGCATTGGCTATAATCTTCCAATCTTCCAATCTTCCACAAATTCCAGAGTGGGGCTGAAGAATTGTAAACATTATGCCCTTGTTCACAAAAGATTGTAAGGATAGACCTAGCAGTTATAGACGAGTCAGTTTAACTTTGGTGGTGGGAAGTTTCAAGAAACAATAATTGGGGATAGCATGAAGAGAAACATGGAAAATTATTGGTTAACCATGCTGATGGAAAATCATGATTATTTGCTGGAGTATTTTGAAAATCTAAAAGAGAAGGCTGATGCAGGTAATGCTGTTGATGTGTGTATGGATTTCTGGCCTCAATAACTATGACGTGCTTTGAGAAGTTTGCCATGGCTCCTATCAACTCTAGACTCCCAATGTGCCTTTGATTCCTTGCAGTTTGCCTACTGTCACAACAGTTCCACCGCAGACTCCATCTCCATGGCTCTACACTCATCCCTGAACATCTGGATAATAAGGGTACTTTTGTCAGGCTCCTACTTATTGATTACAGTTCTGCCTTCAAAACTATAATTCCAAATAAACTAATCTCCAAACTCCGAGACCTAGGTCTCTGCTCTACCCTCTGTAACTGAATCCTTGACTTCCTGACTCTCAGACTGCAATCAGTGAGAATAGGTAACATCACCACTTCCATGATAATACACAACGCCGGCACCCCGCAAGGCTGCATACTCAGCCCCCTACTATACTCGTGTTCACTCATACAGGGAAGAGATAGAATGCTTGGTGGCATGGTGTAAAAATAACAATCTCTGCCTTAATGTCAACAAAACAAAAGAGTTGGTCATTGACTTCAGGAAACAAGGAGGAGGGCACACCACTATCCACGTCGTTGGTCCTGAGGTGGAGGTTGTCGAGAGTATCAAGTTCCTAGGAGTCATGATCACTAACAATCTGTCCTGGTCCACCCATGTTGATGTGATGGTCAAGAAAGCACAGCAACACCTTTACTTCCTCAGGAGGCTGAGGAAATTTGGCACCTCCGTAAAGACTTTTCCCAATTTTTATAGATGTACCATAGAAAGCATTCTAAACGGATGCATCATGCTTAGTATGGCAACTGCTTGGTTCAGGACTGTAAGAAACTACAGAGAGTTGTGAACACTGCCCAGTCCATTATGCAAGTCAACCTTCCATCCATTGATTCCATCTATACTTCTCACTGCCTCAGAAAGGCAGCCAGCATAATCAAAGATCCCTCCCATCCTGGCTATAATCTGTTCTAACCTCTTCTGTCAAGCAGAAGATACAAAAGCGTAAACACACGTACCAACAGATTCAAAAACAGCTTCGTCCCCGCTGTAATTAGACTTCTGAATGGATGTCTCAAATTCTAAATTTAATGTTGATCTCACTCTTTGTGCACCTTCTCTGCAGTTGTGACATTGTATTCCTCGCTCTGTTCTATTACCCTTCTACACTTTGTTTGGTATGATCTGCCTGTCCTGCATACAAAACAAAGCTTTTCACTGTACCTAGGTACATGTGACAATGATAAATCAAATCAAATCAAATCAAAATACATTCAGTACTGTGCCACACAACAGACTTGGGAAGAGTTGACGGTTACAGAATAAAAGGGACATTTGCAACACGGATACAAATTTTTCTGAGCGATAAGAAAAAGAGATTCCTGGTTAATGAATAGTGGAGTCCCCAGTGGGTCAATATTAAGACCCTTGTTTTTGCTATATTCACCCAATGGGTGATGGGAATCTGGAATGCACTGCCTGGGAGAAGCAGGAAACATTACAACCTTTAAAAAGTATGTGGATGTACACTTGACGTGTGATTAAAATGTGATATTATTCTACATTTATATAGGACACTGGTTGTATACACATCTGAGTGCCTCACTTTAGGAACGATGTGAATGCATTGGAGAGATCACATAAAAGATTTACAGGGATTAGAAACTTAATTTAAGAGGATAAATTGAAGAGGCTGAGACAGTTTTCTTCAGAGTGAGGGAATTTGATAGAAGTTTTCAGAATCAAGAGTGGTTTCAACAGAGTGGGGCTTGAGAACTAGTGGCCACAGTTTTAAAGTGTTGTGCAAATGAAGCAAATGCAAGGTGCAATAAATCTTTTCCACACAGCGAGTAGTTAGAATCCGGAATGCATTGCCTGGAAGTGTGGTGGAGACCAAGTTCAGTTGAGATATTCAAGAGGACGTTGGATGGTTATTTAGATGCAAACAACATGCAAGGTTACAGGGAAAAGACAGGAGCGTGGCACTAAGTCAAAATGCTCAGAGAGCAGGTGCAGATACAGTGAGTTAGATGGCATCCTTCTGCAAATTAACAATTCTGAGATTTTGAAATGTTGCAATTTGCTTTATTGGTATTGCACTTTACAAGTAAATTATGCTTCAAATAAAAAGTGCAACCAAATGGAAACTCCACAAAGTATCTAAAATTCGGAAACATATTTGATTATTGTCCCATTTAATACTCACTCATAAGGTTCTTTGGGATAGACGGCAAAATAACCTGTAAAATAGTTGATGGCAGCGCGGAGACTTGTCAGATTAGAGGTCAGTTGCGAGTGGAGGACCAAAGCGATTGATGTTAAACTTGTTTATAAGTTTTCAGAAATTACTTAATGAATGGAATATTGTCCTAAGTGTTTAAATTTATGAACGGAAATGAGATTAAAGCAGTGACCAACAGTGACTAGGTATCAAAGTGAAAAAATTTAGTCGGCAATGGACTGCCTAGAGTAGGTAGACAGGTAGAGAGGTGATAAGTGAAGTTCAACATGAATAAATGTAAAGTAATGAGCTTAGGTATATGAAGTAAAATTGCAGAGTTAAAAATAAATATTTTTAAGGTAACAAAACAGGAGAAATTGTGGGGATTTGGAATAATAGTTCAGTCACATTTACGATTCCATATCTGTAAGTGGGGGAAAAAAAAACAAGTAAATTTTAGAATGTGTAACAAAGAATAGCCTTTTAAGTCTAAAGAGATATTATTGAAATTATATCTATCCTTGTCGGCATCATTTGGAGTGCTATTTTCACTTTGATTTCTTCAAAGAAATATTCTTAAATATTTAGATGTTCAAGGGAGGACTACAGAACTAATTCCTGAACTGAGAAGCTTTGAGTGAAAGAGAACGATTGTCCACCTTGAAACTGTACTGTGGAGGAAAGGACAATGCAGCAGGAGATATTAATGGGTGTGGAAAGTTTGGGTGCATGAGAGCGGCTTTGTCAAGCACGTCTCTAGTATGGAGGATACAATTTAAAATGACAGGTGTCAAAAGAAAATAGAAAATTTTCATAAGGTGATAGATGCTGGTGAGGTCAGTGAAACATTAAATGTATGAGAGGTTAATGCTTTAATTGATATCAAAACTGATGATGGGATGTTTAGGAGGGTTGAATAGTCTTCAAGAAGAAAAGCATGAGTTAACAGTTAGTGTCCAGTGACCATTTGTCAGAATTGAAAGCAGCTGGTAAATTGTAGTATTTATGCTGATAACTAGAGGGGTGTGGGGAACAGAGTGAGTCAAATGGAAGAACACAGTGCTAGTGCATAACCATCTGAAAATAGTGCAGGTTTATTAACATTTCAAGCAAAAGAACCTCCACAGTCTAAGATGCTTGGTGACGTGTCTTTTAATTAATATGTTAAATTATGTTGCAGCATGAGAAAAGAGAAAGTATGCTCACTATTTTTTAATATGTTTTTTATATATAGTCTTCAGTCAGTAGGAAAGACAACCAGGTTTGTAGCAGTACATACCCTCTAAAATAATCAGAAATGATGTGTGGGTAATTTGGTGTGATTTGCTGCCTTCCTAGGGAAATCAACCTTTGAATGTGAAGCACTTTGGGGCATCCTGATAGATGTGATAAGGCTTTTTTAAATGCAATTCATTTATTTCACCTTAAAAGTAAGATAATTTAACAAAGAAATGGTAATCAATATTCTTAATTATGCAGGTGAAGAATCTGGCACTACAGCTGGATCAAGAGATGAATAAACAAGAAATGACAAAGAGTGAACTGAAGGCCCAGTCGTTGGAAGCAGACAATCTGAAAGGCTCAGAGAAGCAGTTGAAACAAGAGATCAATTCATTGTTGGAGTCCAAGCGGTCGCTCGAATTCCAGCTGGCACAGCTCTCAAAGTATTTATTTCTGCTTTAACATTATACTGACATATGGATCTATTTAGGTGTATTGTACAGGAGACTACTAAATGCTTGGATAAATTATTAGGAAAAGTTATTTTCTTAACCTATGTTAACTTGAGGATTTTGAGTACTGGTCAGTGGTACTTATCTGTAAAGAGGATTAATATTGTATGTGACTTCAAAAATTACTCTTAAGATGTGAAGATAACTATGTTTGACATTGTAGAACAGCATGTTGAAGTGGTAATTTTGCATCAAAGAGTTACAGTACAGTGAGATAAATGTCTCATTGAAGTAGGGATTTCTGGAATGGTTGCATGTTTTTTGCTGTGGGGAATGAAAATGTGTTAACCAGTTTGGAAGATTTTTGCACACCTCAGAAAGTTAAAAAAAAATGCAACACAAACAGGGAACTATATTAAAAAGAACTCCATTGTGCACTGACAAATATACCCTCTTAACCTCTTACTCCTTACCATAATACTGTGTCCCCTAGTTATTGACCTCCCTGCTAAGGGAAACACTTCTTCCTATCTATCCTGTCTCTGCCCCTCAGAACTTGGTACACCTTAGTCAGCTTCCTCCTCAGCCTTCTCTGTTCTAAGGAAGACAAGGCCAGTCTATCTAGTCTCTCTTTGTAGCTGAATTGCTCCAGCCTTGGCAACATCCTGATCAATCTCTTCTGCACTTTCTCTAGTACAATCACATCCCACCCACAGTTAGGTTTATAGCTTCATCATAGGTTTATGCGAAGTTCTCAGTCTTAGTTCTGTTGCAATGGGAAATGGTAAGAATTACCCCGGCAAGGTAAAGTTAAATGGCATTTTCTTCAGGGTCCTGGTGCTGCTATCTGCTTCTTAGTTAGTAGCTAATACATATATGGTCACGAATTGGGAAACGAGACATGTGTCCATCTGTCTGAAGGTCAATAAAAAAAAAGAAAGAAAACAACAAAAATATCTGCTTTTCATATATCTTTTAGAAAAAAGTATTGAATTTAAACAAGTTAATTAAAGCTATAGTGGTAACAATTTGTTGGCTGATGTATAGGTGTGTCAAAAAAAGTCTAGTGCAAACTATCTACTATTCCTGATAGTGCTTGCTTTTATAGAGTCAGAGACAGACCCTTTGGTCGAACTCGTCCATGCCGACCAGATATCCGAGATAACTCTAGTCCCATTTGTCAGCCTCTCTTCCTATTCATATACCCATCCAGATGCCTTTTAAACGTTGTAATTGTGCCAGCTGCCACCACTTCTGGCAGCTCCTTCCATATGCGCACCACCGTCTGCGTGAAAAAGTTGCCCCTTAGGTCCATTTTAACTCTTTCCCATCTCACCTTAAACCCATGCCGTCTAGTTTTGAACTCCCCTACCCCGGGGAAGAGATCTTGTCTATTTACCGTATCCTAGCCCCTCACGTTTTTATAAACCTCTGTAAGGTGTCACCCCTGAGCCTCTGACACTCCAGGGAAAATAACCCCAGTCTATTCAGTCTCTCCCTATAGCTCAAACCCTCCAACCCTAGCAACATCCTTGGAAATCTTTTCTGAACCCTTTCAAGTTTCACAACGTCCTTCTTACAGCAAGGAGACCAGAACTGCACACAATGTTCCAAAAGTAGCCTAACCAATGTCCTGTACAGTCACAACATTACCTCTCAATTCTTTCACTCAGTGCACTGACCAATAACAGCAAACATACCAAACACCGCCTTCACTATCCCATCTACCTGCGACTCCACTTTCAAGGAACTATGAACCTGCACTCCAAGGACTCTTTGTTCAGCAACACTCCCCAGGTCCTTACTATTAAGTGTACAAGTCCTGCCCTGATTTGCCTTTCCAAAATGCAGCATCTCGCATTTATCTAATTTAAACACCATCTGCCACTCCTCGGCCCATTGGCCCGTCTGATCAAGATCCCATTGTACTTTGAGGTAACCTTCCCTGTCCACTACACCTTCAATTTTGGTGTCATCTGCAAATTTATTAACCCGACTTCCTGTGTTCACATCCAAATTATTTCTATCACTGACGAAAAACAGTGAACCCAACACCGATCCTTGTGGCACACCATTGGTCACAGGCCTCCAGTCTGAAGAGCAACCCCCTTCCCCTACCTTCTGTCTTCTACCATCCAGCCAGTTCTGTATCCAAATTGCTAGTTCTCCCTGTATTCCATGTGATCTAACCCTGCTAATCAGTCTCCCATGAGGAACTTTGTCGAATGCTTTACTGAAGTTCATATAGATCACGTTCACTGCAGTGTCCTCATCAATCCGCTTTGTTACTTCTTCAAAACACTCAACCAAGTTACTAAAACATGATTTCCCATGCACAAAGCCATGTTGACTATCCCTAATCAGCCCTTGCCTTTCCAAATACATGTACATCCTGTCCATCAGGATTCTCTCCAACAGCTTGCCCACCAACGATGTCAGACAGATTGCATGACTACGATGCAATCTTGTGATTAAGTGCTTCATACATATTGAATCAGTTTCTTTACTCACTGAGTCCATGAGCACAAGTCAAAATAAAAGTAAATCCAAACCCTGTAATTATACTGTGGACATCAATGATATTTTTGCACCCCGGAACATATTCTCGAATGTAATGATGCGATAGCTCATAAAGGACAAATGCATGCTCTGACAATAGTGCAACAGACATTTTATGTGACTGTTATTTTGAATAATTAATCTAAGGATGTATTAAAATTTAATAAAGAAAAGCTGTTAGGTGGCGATAAATGACAGTATTTAAGAAAAGAGCAGATGCAACCTCCCTCGTGTCCTGATTAATATTTATCCTTCAAATAACAGTACAAAAGAAGCAGATTATCTGGTCATTTTGCAATGCTCTATTTAGCGCCGTGCTGAACAACATAGGCTGTTGCATATCTCATATTATAACAGCGGCTACACTGCATACACTATTGGCTGTAAAGTATTCTGGGACATCTTGAGGTTGTGAAAGGTATTATATAAATGCAAACTCTTTTTTTCTTTCCTCTGCATCAAAGAATGAGCTGCATTTTATGATACCTTTCAGAACCTGATGGCATCATTGGACACTTTCTGGTAAATTACTTATGAAGTGCTTGGAAACAAGTGTAGCAGAAATTTCACACTGTAATGCTTCACAGAGTTAATAAGGTATGCTAATGTTGGCTGAGGGATATATATTGTTGGAAGCACGTGGAATTCCAGAACTCGCTGTTCTTTTTTGACTAGTGCCATTGGATTGTAGATTTCATATAGTTACCACCTGGTGAGGAATGATGAATCAGTACCATATTTATTAATCTCCTCAGCTGGCCACAGCAAAGGTGATGCACTTTGATCGGAAGAACACTGAAAGACAATACAGGTCGTTCTCCTATAACTCGATAGTTGCATTGTTGTGTGATCTTGCACTACAAAAAAATCGCGTTATAGGGAACTCGCTATAGAAAATGACTATACCTGTATAGCAGAAAGTTTGCGTTATCCAAACAATAGCGTCGTTATTCATCAATCACATTACAGCCAATTCACGCTAACAAAACACACGTTATAGCAGAACTACCAGTATAAAATAGGGGCTACGATTCGAAAGGAGGTGCACACAAGATTCTTGGGGGACTTGACGTGGATGTGGAAAGGTTTTTTTCCCCGTTGTCAGAGAGTCTAGGACCAGAGATAAGGAGTAAAATCTCTCAGAGGATAGTGAATCTGTGAAGTTATTTCTGACATAGGCTGTCAAGGCTGGGTTGTTTAGTATAGTCAAGGGCAAGATAGGCACATTTTTAAGGGAATCAAGGATTCTCGGGAAAAGGCAAAGAAGTGGAGTCGAGGATCATCACATCTGTTATGATCTCATTGAATTGCCTGAATGACCTGCTTCTGCTTACATCTTATAGGCAAAAAACATAGGCAAATAGCAACAAACTCTGTGGATCAAGTCCAAGGAATGAGCTGACTTTCTCACAGTTCATCTGGTTTCTGGCAATTATTTTCACATTGTTGTCATTCACTGTGCGATAGAAAATCCCCAGTTTGTCAGGTCACTCAGACCTAGGTCTTTGCTTGAGTTGTGAAAGCTTCTGTTCAAACCTTAGAATTTTTTTTTCACTCTGAGAGTGAGAAAAGAGAGAGATCTTTCTTTGCTTACAGGCTTTCTGGAGGTCAGAATGTAACTCCCTTTCTCAGCTCTGTGACAAACTGCAACATAAAAATGCAATAGACTGTTGCTAGGCAGTGATTCAACCCAAAGACACTTAGTGCCAGCTTCTCTCTCAGAAGTATCAAATCCCATTTCTCTGAATGTTATATGACTTTTTGTAACCAATATGTGAAGATCTCACAGTTCCATTTTTGACCTTCACATTGCAAAAATAAAACACCTGCTACGTTCTCTGCAGCACAACAGTACCTGAGCTTCCATTTTTCCCAGTTTATAATAAAAAAAATTATAAGGAAATATGGGCCTTTTTATGCCTGACTGGTTTCAGTCTTTGATAAAATGTTTATTTCAGTTCAGATTGGTTCTTATTTATAATGCTTTCATGAAGCTTGGCTCAACCTGTGGTCGGGTGATTTCTGTGGCCATTTTTAAGTTGGTGTTTTTATTTTTTGAAACCATTTCAATCCATGAGGATCCAATCAAATAATAGAATTTAAAAATCAGTAGGGGATACTTCATCACTATTGGGAATATCCTATAGATTAGTTCACCTGAACAGTGAAACATGCCCTCAGGATTATATCAACAATTCAACATTGTTTATAATTTGTCTTGTACTGCTGCAGAGCCAAGCTGATACTTAAAAGTTCTGGAAATTTATATAGATCCTGTATTTTTATCGACCCCCTCAAGCCTGAACTCATATGCCCAGCTCTACCAATGGCTTTGTCTGGTTGCTTCCTTCCTTGGGTTTCGGTGAGGGTCAGGAAGAGGATTTAATTCTCATAATAATGGAGGTAGTTCCAAAATGACATGCTTGGCATTGGTGATTTGAAACCAAGTCAGCAATTAATGGCAGTCTTGACAATACAGTAGCTGAATTGTGCAAATCCACAGTACTCCAGCTTGATTGACTAACCATCTTAGCTCATTACTGAAATCTGGAGGGATTGGTTATTGCAGGGAGATGGAATTCTTCTCACTTAATTTAGTTATCAATGTTAGCCAATATCAGATTTGCTATAGTGATTTAAGCTGGGTAGGTATTGAGAGCATCTCTGTCAAGCTCATTTAACCTTGCCAAATTCCACATGTAACTCTGTGCTGCGTCAATTTGATTGGGTTAGTGCAATTTGAGTCTTTGGCAAGAGACTTTGAACTCCAGATTGGATGAAAAGAAACCCTGTAGATGGGTAAGGATTCAGTACTAGAATGATTTGGAGATTCTCAAAATTGAATGGTTGGTTACCATTCATGTTATACACCCAACTTAATAGGACAAAGGACCAAATGGAAGTCACATTTTCTAGTGTCATAATTTGTTATACAAATAGAGTCATACTTAAAATAGAGATTTTGGCAGTGAGACTAATAATATTGCTTTTAGATGTGTTTGTTATATTGTACAGCTTTAGTTTAAAGCACACTAAGCAACTGTCTGATAATGCCTCATTTGATTTACTAAGGCAATATCGAGGAAATGAGGGTCAAATGCGGGAACTCCAGGACCAGCTTGAGGCAGAGCAGTATTTTTCTGTAAGTAATATTTTGATATTCAACAAGTTAACTTCAAATACAGCAAAAGTACTTAAAGCTGTACATGACTTCTGTGATCTAGAAATAATTTTAATTACAATATGCTCTTGAGATTCAAGTTTGTTTTACATTGTAGCTTTAGTGATCTTTTCCCCGTGTGCCTGGTTTCCATTGAGAAGGTGGTGGTGAGCTGCCCCTTGAACAGATGCAGTCAATTTGGTGTAGGTACACCCATAATGCTGTTAGGAAGGGAGTTTCTGGTTTTAGACCTGCTGACAGTGAAGGAACAGCGATTATGTTTCCAAGTCAAGATAGTATGTGGCTTGGAGGGGAATTTATAGGTAGTGTTGTATCCATGTATCTGCTGACCTTGTCCTTGTAGATGATGGTGGTCATGAATTTCAGGGGTGCCATCTAAGGTGTGAACTAGTAAACTGCTGCAGTGCATCTTGTAAATGGGGCACAATACTGGTAATGTGCTTCGGTTGGGGAGGGAGTGAATGTTTGTGAACATGGCACCAATCAAGCAGGTTGCTTTTTCTTGGATTGTGTTAAGAGTCTTGAATGTTGTTGGAGTTGCATTCATCCAGTCAAGTGGGGAGTATTCCATCACATTCCTGGCTTGTGCTTTGTTAATGTTGAACAGACTTTGGGGAGTCAGGAAGTGAATTATTCGCTATAGGACTCCTAGTCTTTGATCTGCTGTTATAGCTACAATACGAATGACCAGTCCAATTCAGTTTCTGATAAATGGTAACCCCAGGACATTCATAGTAAAGAATTCAATGATGGTAATGCCATTGAACGTCAAGGGGACGATGGTGAGATTCTCTCTTATTGAAGACTTCTTGGCACTTGTGTGGCACAAATGCTATTTGCCACTCATCAGCCCAAGCCTGAGTATTGTCCAGGTCTTTGATGCATTTGGACGTAAACTGTTTCAGTATCTGAGGAGTCTTGAGTGGTGCTGAACTTTGTGCAATCATCAATGAACATCCTTATTTCTGACTTCATGATTGAGGAAAAGTAATTGATGAAGCAGCTGAAGATGTTTGGGCCAAGGACATAACCTTGAGAAACTTCTGCAGAAATGTCCTGGGGCTGAGGTGATTGATCAACAACAACCAAGATCGTCTTTCTTTGTGCCAGGTATGACTAACTTGCGAAGATTTTCTCCATAATTCCTGTTAACTCTAGTTACTAGGGCTTCTTGATGCTACACTCTGTCAAATACAGCCTTGATGTCAAAGGCAAACATTCTCACCTCCCCTTTGGAATTGATCTCCTTTATCTGCATTTGAACCAAGACTGTAATGAGTTCAGGAATTGAGTGGCCCTCGCAGAACCCAAACTGAGTATCAGTGATGATGGAGGGTCAACTGATGGGGCAGTAATTGACAGGGTTTAATTTGTTCTACTTTTTGTGTACACAACACACCTGGGCACTTTTATAGGTTGTCGGCTAGATGCCACTGTTGTACCTGTGCTGGAATAGCTTGGCAGCAAATTCTGAAGCACATGGTTTTATTACTATTGCCAGAATATCATCAGAGCCCAGAGCCTTTCTTAATATCATGTGGAGCGAATAGAATTGGTTAAATACTTGAATCTGTGATGCTGAGGACCTCTGGACGAGACCAAAATGGATCATCCAGTTGGCATTTCTGGCTGAAGATCATTGCGGATGCCTCAGCCTTATCTTTTGCAGTGATGTTCTTGATACTCCCATTGTGTCCTTAAGTGAGTTATTTAATTGTCCGCCATCATTCATGGTTGAAGGTGACAGGATTGTAGAGCTTAGATCTAATCCATTTATTGTGGAATTGCCCAGCTCTTTGTACCACTTGCTGCTTATGCTGTTTGGCATGTGAAAAAAAAACTGTTGTAGCATCACCATCTCAGTGTTAGGTATGCCTGGTTCTGCCCCTGTCTTGATGATAATGGTAGAGTAGGTTATATGCCAAATCATGAGGTTGCAGTTTGTCTTGGAGTACAGTTCTCCTGCTGCTGATAGTCCACAGCATTTCATGAATGCGTAGTTTTGAGTTGCGAGAACTTTTCGAAATTAATCCCATTTAACTTGGCAGTAGCGTCACAAAACCTGATGAAGGGTATCCCTCTTGTGAAACTGGAACTTTATCCCTACAAAGCCTCCTATTGATACTGTCTTGGATAGATGCATCTGCAGTAAGCAGATTAGTGAAGATGAGGTTAAGCACATTTTCCCTTTTGTTGGTTTTTTACCTTGGAGTCATAGTGTTGTACAGCATGGAAACCCACCACTTGCCTAAGATCCAGTCTAGCAGCTATGTCTTTTAGAACTTGATCAGTTCGGTCAGGAATGGCCCTGCAAAGCCACTGTTTGTGCTGGACATTGATGTCTCCACCCATACTACATTTTTCATCTTCGCCACTGTCAGTGCTTACTTTCTGATGTCTAACATGGTAATGAACAGGAATTTTCCCTGTCTGCATTTGCCTGATGACATGAGACATCACAAGGTCCACAGTCAGTGTTGAGGACTTAGAGCAATTGCCTCCTAACTGCATACCGTTGTGCTGATACCTTTTCTGGGCCTGTCCTGTCAGTTGGACAGGACATGACAGGGATGGTAATGGTGGTATCTGGGGCATGTCTTTAAGGTTTGAGCATGGTTATATCGGGCTACTGCTTAACCAGTCTCTACTGAGGCTCTCCCAATTTTGGCGTTGACCTCTCCGTCTCCATTGCATTTGTTCTGATGATGCCAACTTTGATGAGGGAGCCTCTGATATGTCCACCTTCTTCCTCAGCGGAGGTTTCCCCAGCACCGTGGTTTGATAGGGCCCTCAGCTCCACATCTCCCACACTTCAGCCCTTGCGCCCCTCTCTTCCCTTCCACAACAGTGATAGGATCCTCTTGTCCTCACCTACCATCCCACCAGCGTCCACATCCAGAGGATCGTTAGCCAACATTTCCGCCAGCATCAGCAAGATGTCACCACCAGATATATATTCCCCTCCCCTCCTGTATCAGAATTCCACAGGGACCGTTTCCTCTGGGACACCCTTGTCCACTCTTCCTTCACTCCCAACAACCACCACAGCCTCAAATACACCTTCCAATTCACACAAGGGCCCAAACACACCTTCCAGTGCACTTCACACAATCTAATCTACTGCATTCACTGCTCACAATGTTGTCTCCTCTACGTTGGGGAAATGAAGCATAGACTGGGTGATAGCTTTGCAGAACTCTTGCGTTCTATCTGAAAGAAAGACCCTGAACTTCCAGTTGCCTGTCACTTCAACACACCACCCAGTTCCTTGGCAAATATCGCTGTCTTAGGCTTGCTGCAGTGCTCCAGCGTAGCTCAGAGCAAGCTGGGAAGAACAGCGCCTCACTTTCTGCTTGGGGACCTGCAGCCTTCCAGACTCTATATTGAGTTTAATAACTTTAGGGCTTGAGCTCTCCCAAGTCCTTACCCCAGCCCCCAAAAACCAAGCCTTGTCTTCATATAGTCCACTATTACACATCATCCATTGTTAGTCATTAGCAGTCCCATTAATAGCTATTCACCCTCCTAGCCAGATCATTTTTCAATCCTTTGTCTGTCCAACTGCTATTCTGTCTCTTTGGGCTCTATCCCCACCTATCGTTTACTCCTTACCTCTTCCCCCACCCTATCTTCTTCTTATAAAGCAGCATTTTCATGGCTACCATCAGTTCTGGAAGGGTCACTCAACCTGAAATGTTAACTGTGATTTCTCTCCACAAATACTGCCAGACCTGCTGAGCTTTTCCAGCAATTTCTATTTTTGTCTCTAATTTACAGCATCCACAGTTCTTTCAGTTTTTAACCCAGATGTTAGCATGGAGGACTTTGCAGTGTCAGCAGGGCTGAGTTTGCCATTGTCTTTTCTGGTACTTGGTTTGGTGCCACATTGTCTGTTTGCTTTCATTTCTTTTTGGAGACTCTTCAGCGTTTGATACAACTTGGCTTGCTAGACCATTCCAGAGGGCTGTTCAGAATTAATCATATTGTTGTGGGTATGAAGTCGCGTATAATCCAGGGCTAGTAAGGACAGCAGCTTTCCATCCTTAAAGGACATTCGTGAACCGGAACGTTTTAATATCAATCGGCAGTGGTTTAGTGGTGGTTATTAGACTTTTAATACTGGATTTTCTTGAATCCAAAATCCATATGAACCATACTGCACAGAAACAGACCCTTTGGTCCAACTCGTCCATGCTGAGCAGATATCTTAAACTGATATAGTCCCATATGCGAGCATTTGGCCCATATCGCTCTAAACCCTTCCTAACCATGTACCCAAGCAGATGCTTCTTAAATGTTGTAATTGTACTTGCCTCCACCACTTCCTCTGGCAGTTCGTTCCATACATGCACCATCCTCTACGTGAAAACGTTGACCTTCAAGTCCCTTGTAAGTCTTTCCCCTCTCACCTTAAACCTTTTCAGTCTAGTTTTGGACTCCTATAACCTGGGAAAAAGACTTTGACTCTTCACCCTATCCATGCCCCTCATGATTTTATAAATCTCTAAGGTCATTCCTCAGCCTCCGATGCTCCAAGGAAAAAAGCCCCACCCTCTTCAGCCTCTCCCTATAGCTAAAACTCTCCATTTCTGGCAACACCCTTGTAAATCTTTTCTGAACACTTTCAAGTTTAACAATGTCTTTCCTATAGCAGGGAGACCAGAATTGAATGCAGTATTCTAAAAGTGTCCCAAACAATGTCTTGCTCAGCGCTACATGACATCCCAACGCCTATACTCGGTGCACTGACCAAAGAAGGCAAGTGTGCGAAACACATTCTTCACCACCTTGTCTACCTGCGACTTCAATTTCAAGGATCTGTGCACCTGCACCCCAAGGTCCCTTTTTTTCCAGCAACACTCCCCAAGGCCCTCCCACTAACTGTATAAGCCCTGCCCCAATTTGCCTTACCAAAACGTAACACCTCACATTTATCTGAATTAAAATCCATCTGCCACTCCTTGGCCCATTGGCCCATCTGATCAAGATCCCATTGTACTCTGAGGTAACCTTCTTTGATGCCCATTACACCTCCAATTTTGGTGTCATCTGTGAACTTACTAACTATACCTTCTATATATAAATGATGAAAAACAGTGGACCGACCTCCAATCCTTGCAACACACCACTGCTCACAGGTTTCCAATCCGAAAAACAATCCTCCATCACCACCACCATTCTGTACAATTTGCAAGAAATGCTAAAACATAGGGAAAGAAACATTAGTTCTGTATGAGAGGAGTGTAAATTATAGTAAAGGCCTTGCCTTGCCATGGAGCATGTTGCTAGTGCCTCATTTTCTTCCAAGATTCATCTGTTGAACGGTACTGGACTGGCAAACATCATTAACATCAAATGCTAAAGAAGTATCTGCCTTTATAGTACCAAATGTGTTATATCAATGTTGATTGATATCATTTGAGGTTAAAAAACCCCAGCTACATTTCAGTAACTTATGAATAAAGGTGTGGCTAAACTACCTAACGGTGTTCATTTAGACAACATCATAATATGCAGTTACACTTGGAAAGAACATACAAGAACATCTCAATAATACACTGCAGTACGGGGGAGAAATTAAGTACCATCACTATCTCTAAGCGTGTAATATTAGACATCAGTGAGGCTAAAGCCAGATAGGTCCTCTGACCCTGATGGCTTGCATCCTTGCATCCTGTAAACATGTAGCTACAGAGGTAGTGGGTGTGTTGGTTGAAATTTTCCAAAAAAAACCTTGATTCTGGAGAAGTACCACTTAATTGGAAAACTGCCAATATGACACCCCTATTGAAAAAGGAGGAAGGCAAAAGGCAGGTAAGCTTATTTTTTAACATCTGTTGTTGGCAAAATGTTGGAATTAGTTATTAAGTAAATAATAACACATTTGGAAAATCATAATCTATCAAGCAGAATGAGTACGGCTTCATGAAACGGTGATTGTATCTAATTTAAGAGAGTTGTCAAGTAAGACTCAACCTGAGTGGATAGAGGGGAATCAGTGGCTGTGTTGTATTGGACATCAAGAAGATGTCTGACAAGGTACCTCATAAAAGTTTAAGTCATAAGATAAATGATTTGAAGAAACAAAGCAAATTTAATGGAGTCAAATTTGCAGATGACAGAAAAGTAGGTGGAAAGGCAAATTATGAAGGGAATCCAGACAAAGATATTGATATTATAGAAAGATATTGATACGCTAAATAAGTGGGCAAAAGGTTGGCAAAATGGTGCTTAGTGTGGGAAAATGTGAAGTTTGTTCATTTTGGAAGGGAGAACAAGAGAACAGGGTGTTACTTAAACAAAAATTGCAGAAAGCTGCAACACTTTTGCATGAAATGCAGAAAATTAACACACAGATGCAGCAGGTAATCAGGAAGGCTAATATTGGCCTTTATTTCAAGGGATTTGGAGTAAAACATAGCGAAGTTTTACTGCAACTGTGCAATGCGCTAGTGAGACCACACTGGAGTACTGTGAGCAATTTTAAGGAAAGATAATATTTCATTGGAGGTGGTTCAAAGAAGGTTCACTAGAATTGTCCCTATTATGCAGGGATTATTTTATGAGCAAAGGTTTAACAAGTTGGGACTGTACCCATTAGAAGAATGAGAAGTGATCTCATTGAAACAAAAACTATTCTTACGAGGTTTGACAGGGTAAATGCTGAGAGGATGTTTCTCCTCATGGGAGAGTCCAGGACCAGAGGGCATATATCAGAATAAAGAAGTGCCAGTTTAAGACTGACATGAAGAAGAATTTCTTCGCTGAGTTGTGAGCCATTGAAACATCTTGCCACAGGGAGCTGTGGGGACAGAATCCTTATATGTATTTATGGCTAAAATAGATCCTCCTTTGGTAGAAGAATCAAGGATTACAGGGATAACATGGGAAAGTGGACATGATGAATGTCGGATCATCCATGTTCTTATTGAATGGTGGTGCAAGCTCAAGGCACCAAATGGGCCACTCCTATTCCTGTTTCTTATGGTCTCAACAGATCTGCTTAAGCAATGGCAGTTAGTTGGCTTAATAATAAACCTGGCTAAAAGTGACTTTTCAAAAGTAAGTGTGACTCATCTGGACATATTGTACTACCACTGTAGTGTAAGAATTGCCAAGCAAAGCAAAAGTGAAGTCTCTGATCAAATTCCCCATTCTTAAAACTAACCAAGAAATCATGAGATTTTTAGGCATTTGTGCCCAATTACAGCATAATAGCTGGACCTTTAATTTAATTTGTTCAGTGGAATGTCAAGCTGCCTTAGAAAACCTGAAAGCAGTTCTAATAAAAGGACAGTGTTTGCCACCCCTGACCTACCAAACCTTTTTAACTGGTGATTGACGCCAGTGTCTTGCCGGTATGGATGCAGTCTTATTGCAAGGTGATGAGTTGATAATAGAAAAGCCAGTGGGATACCATCTTAAGAAACAGTACCAATATCAGAGGATATACTCTACATTAAAAAACGAAACTTTGGATTATTGGCTCTTCCACACTTTAGGCTCCAATTACAACAAGGTTGAAATGAAACATTAATCAATATTAGTTAATCTGCTAGCATTCATTCAGAAGGTTAAAATGTACAGATGGAATTTATTGATTCAAATACTCAATCTAAGAATTTTCATACTGCTGGTAAAAGTGCCATGATAGCAGATGTATAGTCCAGAATTTAAAAGGATTGAAATGAGTTAAGAATTTGAGAGAGAGAGAGATGACAAAAGATTGTATAAAGCATGAATGGAGTTAAGCCTCGTGTTTTGTTGTCTATGTGTTTTATTCTTTGTGATGGAGTGCATTTTTGAAATGGCATTTCATCTTTCTTAAGAGTGGAGGTATGATAAGACCATATGTTTTATTCTTTTTGTTTTTGGATTGTGGGGCACAAAGGAAAGATACTGCATTAAATCAAGGACATTGTACAAAGATATGTCATATTTTTGAAAACCATATTTACTGGAGCACTGCGTGAGTTGCTTATACAATGTTTCCTGGAACTGAGAAAGAAAGGTCAGATGGAACGGAGCCAGGAGATGGCAAGGACTGCAGATGTTGGAAGTCAGAGTCAATAAAATGTGGAGCTGGAGGAGCACAATAGGTCAGATAGCATCAGAGGTGCAGGAAAGTCGAAGTTTTGGGTTGGGACCCTTCATCAGGATTGGGGATGGAGAAGAGAGCTCAGAAATAAATAGAGGGAGGGGTTTGGAGCTGGGGGAAGGTAGGTGGGATGGTGATGGTGGATGCAGGTGGGAGCTTGTAGAGATTGGTCAATGGGAAGGATGGGGCAGATAGGTGAGAAGGAAGGTAGACAGTTTGTGTCAGGTCAAGGAGGCAGGGATGCGAGGGAGGGGCGGACTTGGGATGAAGCTGGCATTGGGGAGATTTTGAAGCTGGTGAACTCTATGTTGAGGCCATTGGAACGGAGCCAGTTGGCTTCTGAACAAATGGACAATAACATTTTGTTTGATTTTTGGGCAGGTGACCATGGTATGTGTGTAGTCAAAACAAACAGAAACTTCTCGCTTGTGAAGAAAAAGTACCTAAATTTCTCTCTCTCCCTCCTGTGTGCAAAAGTAACAGAAAATCTCCTGGCAGTTGTTATCATTCACTATTTCCCTTTAAACTGCTTTTACTGTAAATATCCTTGTCAAAAATCTTGAAGCACAGAAAGGGTGAATCCACAACCAGCGAATAACAGGCTGGGAAAGTGTATCCACAACCTCATGTCATTAGCCAAGATTCAGAAGGATTTGAAAGAAAGCCAGAAGAAAACAGCTACTCATTGATGTCTACAATCTAGAACTGCGCTTATGACTTTTTACCCCACTTCCCCATCCATAATACTGTGCTTTGTCTTATCACTTTTGTACAGCCTGTTTGTATGTATATAGGAATTTTAAAAAGGGGTGGAGTTATAAATTAGTAATTCTTGTTTCTTTCTTGCCATTGGTTAAAACACTTTGATTACAATAAATACGCAGACAGTTAAGTAAATGTGAACAATTTGATGGTTTAATTAAATTTTATCATTTGTGCTGACTGCAGGAATAGCGAGGCTTGATTTCCAGCGCGCTACCCCAATGAGTTGTGATAAAATTCTTTTAAATTTATTTAAACATCAATTTCACTGTAGTCTAACTTGTAGAGTTTGATCCTTCTTTTCTAATGTGAGGACCAGAGCCAGATATTAATTTGGCATTTTGACCATGACCTTATAATCTACAGTTCTGACATTCAGTTCTGTTTAATTCGTCAGACACTCAACAATAATAGTTCTATCATAGAATGTTTGATATTACCATTGTCATGTTTTCATATTCCTCATTGGCTATATTCTTTGTCTCTTGTTTTCTCGTGCTGCTATTTCCTGCTACTTTTTTTTTAACTTTGTTGTAATTTCTACCTTCGCCACTCTTGTAGACTATGGTTACATTGTTCTTTTGCATTTGTCTTTCAGTGAATGTATACTTCTTTTGTAATTCACAAGGATGGGCACTAAATTCTGTCCCAGCCAGCAAAGCCCACATCTTCTGAATGAATAAAAGAAACTGTCTCTTTAAATATATAATATATATATATTATATAATAAATATATATATTAAATATTTTAAATGTCACTGGTTACTAGATTGAAGACTAGATTTGCACTGAAATGATAAAATATTCTATACAGCACCATTGTAAAAGGTCTGGAAACAAATAAAAAACACGTTTTCTTGTTGCAAGTTTTATTATTTACTTAACATCAATATTGCAGTATTTCATCTTTTGAAGTTGCATGGTGCATTTTAAACACAGCTGTAGTAGCAATTTATTTGTGCGAAATTATGCATTTTATGTCTTTGTTTTTCAAAATGAAGTATTTTGGATAATATTGGATTTGTTCACAGACTTTGTATAAGACTCAGGTTAAGGAGCTGAAAGAAGAAAATGAAGAGAAAAACAGAATAAATAGTGAACTACAAAAGAGGATGCAAGAGCTCATCAGTGAAAGGTAAAAAAAAAATGTCATTGTTCTGGTGCTGACTGTTGCTGAAAAAATTCAATATCAGAAAGAATGCATAATTTCAGTTTCACACTTGGTAGCCTCTGGACTCAACAGTTGTTGAGTTCAATGATTCTGTCCCCTGACTACATTCAAACCCCCACTTTCTGTCCATTTCTTTTTATTTAATCTTGTTTTTCTTGCTATTGGTTTTGGATGACACCTCTTTATCATTTTCCTGTCTTTACAATCTCTGGACCTATCTTTTCTTTCTTTATTTGACCTATTACTACTCCTTAAAAACCAAAAGAACTGCTGATTCTGTAAATCAGAAACAAACACAGAAATTGCTGGAAAAACTCAGCAGGTCTGGCAGCATCTGTGCAGAGAAGCCAAGAGTTAATGTTTCGGGTCTGGTGACCCTTCCTTAACCCTGATTTCTCTTCACAGATGCTGCCAGACCTGCTGAGCTTTTCCAGCAACTTCTGTGTTTATTACTACTCCTTATTGCTTTTCCTCAACAAATTGTCTATTATTTCATGTCTCAAGCCTTCCAACCTCTTCTTTTTTGTCACCTATTCCCCATTTCACCTCTTTAAAAGTTGTGACATTTCCAACTTTTCCCTGTTCTGATGAAAGGTCATGACCTGAAATATTAACTCTGTTGCTTTTTCAACAGTCGCTGCCAGACCTGCTGAGTATTTGCAGCATTTTTTATGTTGATGTACAGTGGCCGTCATGATTATGTTGAACCTATTCCATGCCTGCCATTGGAAGATTGCTGTCCAATATTAAATGATCATGCTGGCGATCATATTTGACACTTCTGTCTGAGTCATGGTTATCCTGTCAACCTTATTCACTATCAGCCAATATATCATTTCATTGTGGTAATAATTCCCTGTTTGTGTAATAGGGCTTGTTCTAATTGAATGATTTAATATTTACGATGAAAGAGGGACCTGCATTTAGAGTATGCTGTAATACCTCTGATCCTCAATAACTTTTTTGTGGTGATCATCTGCTGTGGCCTTCTTTAAAATGTTCCTTTGTCTTTTTTTCATTTTTCCTTTTTCTCTGCTCCTCTGCAATTTTTAAGCATCACTTGTTCGATAGCCTAATTTAGGATTAAATCGCTATCCTTACTGCAGTCTGAATTTGAAAATAATCCTTGTAGCATTCTAGGGTTCAGACACATTTTCCACTGTTCTGACCATCTTTCTCCCAATTTTACTTCTCTGCTCTGCTTTTTGAAGCACCTACCTCTACTTACAGCTTTTGCCTGTGTATCACTATTCTTTTGTTTTCTGAAGGTTAGTAACCATATGACCTGTTGCTGTTCCTGTAACACACTTCTTCTAATCTACATAACCGCTACCATTATGCAAAATGAATACATCTATCTGAGGGTCCTCTGTCAGGTACCATTCCTCTCCCTTTGATAACTTGCCTATGCATGTTTTGTATTGCAGCTTCAATTTTAATACTATGTAATGTTTCTAGCCATGAATGTTTCCTTTGCTCTAGATGGCAGAGTCTACGTATCCATTGTCTAAAAGCATCAAATCGCCATTTGGGTACCAAAATCTAAACAAAAAGTGGATTTGTTTATGATTTATGGACCTAAATGATGGTCAAAGAAAGCTACACTATTCAATACTTTAATCGAAAGTTAGGCTTACTGATTCAACAGTTCACACAGTGTCATGCAATGATACTGCCTTAAACTAATGTCAAAGTTATGGAATAACATATTGCTATAGCAATTGATTTTCTCCTTTGTGGGCATCTTTTAACCAAGATTTCTCAGAGTCCACTGTACCTCTGGCTCACTGGTTCAATGACTTGTTTTTATGTTGCTTTAGGCGTGAATAATAGCAGAAGCCCAATTTTGACGATTAATTCCCTGTTTGATTTTTTTTTAGTACATATTTTTCATCTGGCATTCACATTGATTTTTTTATTCATGGTGCTTTTATAGTCATACCACAATCAATAAATTTTGTCAAATGGCTTCTGTTGTACTGCCTACTTGGTATTTTTTTCTTTGATTGATTGCCTCCTTAGCGATCTACATACTGCCAGCTTTAATATCATTCACAAAAATTGAGTCAGCTTTCACATGTACACCAATAATGCTCATATTTTCCTATCTTCATCAATTCATTGCTGTTGAAATAATTACAGCTGCTTGTTTGACATGGAGTCTTGTTGAGTCATTACTTGTATGGTCAATATTGACAAATTTGAGGGTAACTGATCTGATGAAAGATCATTGAACTGAAGTGTTCACTTTATTTTTCTTTTATCATGTGCTGCCTGATCTTTTGAGCATTTAGAGGATTTTCTATTTTTTAATTTCAGTTTTCAGCACCTGCAGTATTTTGGATTGTATTGAAAATATCTTGTTGGCTATTCTATTGCCTGTGTACAGCTAACACTGTGTTGGTCATAAAGGCTGAAAACGTTGATGCTGAGTCTAGATATTTTCTTGAAACATTATCTGATCGCATCCTGTCCGACAGCAAAATTGTCAATTCTAGAATTTTGCATTGTATCCTTAACCATTCCAACTGCTGCCAAAACCCTTCTCCATATATTTAATATGGCAAGGATTGCTTGATTTAATACCCTGTCATCAGCTTTCACATACTAAATTAAACAAGAAGTTTGCATTTACTGTACAATGTTATGCACCCATTTGCCAATTTGCAGAAAACTCAATTTTCCTTTTGTTCCAGTTTATTTCCAGAAACTCATCCTTCTTTTCAACTCTGATTTTCTCCCTGTCCAACTTGAAGAATCCTCTCCTTGTCTTTGTCCATGTCCTCCATTCTTCCACCAGCAGAACTCAGTCTTTCATTTAGTAAAGCCTTACCCTTAGGAATTTTCCCCCTAAACCACTTTGCCTTGTTATGTCTTTCCTTGTGTTCGAGAAGCTTAAAGGTTTTGCCTCTTCTGGTTTCCCTTGCTTTTTCCCCTACCTACCCTTCACATCAAGTTTCATGACTCATTGTTTATTTTTGTTTTTGTCTTCTCCTGAAAATTGTAGCTTTGCAGTAGTTCAGATCTGTTGCAACTGAGATCAGTTCATTTCTTTCCCAAAAGCTGTGTAACAAATTTTGTGTGTGATATTCCCTTAGAGTGATGTTGGCACTTGCATGTAATGTGGGGAGGCTGTTACATTGACCATATTCTGCATAGATGTACAGGAAGAATTTACGCATTCATAATCAACTTATTTGGTGTATTATGGACACTGCTTCCAAAAGCCACCAAGTCTCGAGCTGAGTCCCGAACCCAGAGCTTCTGCTCAAGAACTATAGATGTTATCACTGCAAAACCAGACATCCCTATATAGAAATTGTGGAACCTACTCTCAGGTGGATTTTACAGGGCTTCATTTGCCTTGCCGCAGCTAGAAAAATTAATTAGGAGGCCTGCCAACAAGAAGTCAGCTGTTATGCAGCATTTTACATTGGAAACAACATTAATTGTTTAACATATAGATTTCTACCCCATTTGGGAGGAGTGGAAGATTCAATCAGTGACCACCCCAGAACTTCAGGCAGTTCCAGAACAGGACATGATTGTGGAGTCAGATTTTATGATAAGTCTAGGATATTGGCTGGGCTTGATTTGCAGCCATACCAGCAAGGTGGGATGAGGGATGATGCGGAGCTGGGTCTGAGGGGCTGGATGGCAGAATTTTTTCTCAGTTTTTGAGGTGAAAGGAGTTAAACTGCTGCCAGCCATTGCTCACTCCTGCCAAACCCCTCCCACTAGTTTAAAAAAAAGAGTCCTTGTCTCATTTATGGGCCAATATTTATTTGTCCTACAAACAAGATTACTGTATTCTTTTCTACTTTTATATGACTGACATTATTGAGTATGTTAATTTCTCTGTCTTCTACTAGGGATTCATTATCTTCACAAATGGATCTAACTATAACTAAAGCAGATTCTGAGCAGCTTGCTCGAGCTATTGCAGAGGATCAATGTAATGAACTTGATCAGGAATTGAAGAAAGCAACAGCACGACATAAACAGGAGCAGAATGAGAAAGACAACACCATTATCTTAGTAAGCTAGACTATTTTACACAGAAATTTTTATAATGTCTAAGCTATTGCATTTGTAAGCAAGAACAATGATTGTTTCTTTTATTAAGTCCTTGTCTTTAATAATTTTTAACATTGCAACATTTCTTCTATTAAAAATATGCTTATGTTTGTTGATTTTTAGCTAGAGGAATCAAATAGAACCTTGACCAAAGATGTAGAAAACCTATCAAAGGAGAAAGCAGAACTCGATGAAAAACTGAGGACTATGGGAGAAGGTATGGAATGGATCACATTATTATTACTTTTAAGTTGACTGTTTTCTTCCTGCCAGTTATTGCATATTATATGTTAATGTGAATTGAATTTAGTAAACAGGTGGTAATTTTAATATCAAGAAAACAATGAAGGGTAAATGGATGATGGGTATTAATTTATGAAATTAATTGTCTGTGATGAGGGGATGTGTCTTGTGGCACACTGATAGTGTCTCTACCTCCGAGCCAGGAGATTCCAGTTCAAGACCCATCTGTCCCAGGCATGTGTAATAACATCTCTGAACAGATTGGTTTAGGAAAAAAAGTGTCTGTATATAAATTTCAGCCAAGCCTGAATGTTGTCCAGATCTTGCTGTACGCAGGCACATACTGCTTCACTATATATGGAATTGCAAGTATTACTGGATATAACTTTATAGAGTTGAGTGCTTTCAATCAAGTTTGGGCCAAGGCTATAATTAGGCCTAGAGCTGAGTAGCCTTGTCAGAATCCAAACTGAGCATCACTGAGCAAGTTGACAATGTTAAGCACATCTTCCACTAGTTTGCTTCTGATCAATAGACTGATGGGTGGTAGTTTACCAGATTACAATTGTCCTGCTATTTATAGGCAGGGCATATATGGGCAATTTTCATACAGATGTGTAAATGCCAATGTTGCTGACATATTGAAGTATTGAACAGTTTGTCCAAGGGTGCAGCTAGTTTCAGAGTACAGTTTTTTCTATTTTACATCTGAGATGTTGTCAGGTTGCTATTTCCATTGCTTTCGTCATTTCTTGATATCACATGGAGTGAATTGAATTGTCTGAAGATTGCCATTTATGATGGTGGGTATCTCAGACTCATTCATTCAGCAGTTCTGAAGGTTATTGCAAATGCTTCAGCCCTGATATTTGCATTGATATACTTACTGATCTCTCCCATCATTGGGTTCTTTTTTGGTTCCTTCTGCAGGTAGTTGTTTAAGCAGAGCTTTGGTCTGATCCATTGATTCTGGTTTTGCTTAATTCTCTTTAAAGCATTCAAGCTAAACAGCAGAAATAGCACGTGATCTAGCTTCACCAAGTTTGCACCTCATTTTTACATTGGTACATGTCATGCTTTTCCGCATTCCTCATTGAATCAGGTTTGGTCCCTTGGCTTAAAAACAGTAAATGCTGGAAATATGAAACAGGTCGGACAGCATATGTAGAGAGAGCAACTGAAACGTTAGCTCTGTTTCTTTATCCACAGATGTTTGCCATCTGCTAAGCATTTCCAATATTCTGTTTGTATTTCAGATTTCCAGCAGCCACAGCTCTCTGCTATTTGAATAGGTCTTATCTTGATGTGATAATAAAAAGGGATATATAAGTTCATGAGGTTACCTATTAGAGTTAAATACAATATGTTGTTGCTAATGGTGTGCAATGTCTCATGGATGTCCAATTTTGAGCTGCTAGAACTGTTCTGAACCTAATCCATTTAACTCAATAGTCAAGTCAAACAGTGTGTTGGAATTTGAACTCGTATGTCTGGAAGATTAAGCCCGGTTTGTCGATTATCAGTTCAATAACATTATTACTATTCTATCATATCCAACAACCATATTTTGACGAACTGAGAAGTTTTATCATCAAATGGTAACATGAGTTACTATCATTCTACAATTATAGATGGCCCAAATCTCTTGACTTCTACTCTGGCTCTAGAGACCATATTAATATTTACGCAATTGAAACTACATTAAAAGTCATGCAATTTTGAATGAAGAGAGATAACAAGGTGTAGAGCTGGATGAGCACAGCAGGCCGAGCAGGAAGGCTGACGTTTCGGGCTTAAACCCTTCTTCAGAAAAATGCCTATTTTCTTCAGCCCATTTTTCTGAAGAAGGGTCTAGGCTCATCCAGCTCTACACCTTGTTATCTCAGATTCTCCGGCATCTGCAGTTCCTACTATCTCTGAAACAATTTTGAATGAAAATGTTTTTTTCTGAACATTATATTAGATTAAAGATTCCAAAAAGTGAAATGCGTATGTTTCATCCTTCTGCTTCACTGGCTGATGTATTTTGCTTTCCTAGACTCAGTATAATGTATATCAGTCACAACTGATTTTCTCCCAAGTCTCCCATAGTACCAAATAGAAGTGTCTGTTGGGATGTGCCTAGAATCGTAAGACTATAGGATATAGGTGCAGAATTAGGCCATTCAGTCCATTTAATCTGCTACACCATTTGATCATGGTTGGTATGTTTCTCAACTCCAATCTCTTGCCTTCTCCCCATAACCATTGATCTCCATACCAATCAAGAATCAGTCTATCTGTGTCTTAAATACACTCAATGACTTGGCCTCCACAGCTGTGTGTGGCAATGAGTTCCACAGTTTAACCACCTTCTGCCTGAAGAAATCCCTCCTTGTCCCTTCACACTGAGGCTGTGCCCCCAGGTCCTAGTCTCTCCTACTGGTCCACGCTACCTACGCCTCTCAGTATTCTGTAAGTTTCAATGAGATCCCCCTCCACCCCATCCTTCGAAACTGCCATTGAGAACAGACACAGAGTCCTCAATTGCTCTTCATATGATAAGCCTTCCATCACTGGGATCATTCTTGTAAACCTCCTCTGGATCCCTTTCAAGGCCTCCAAATCTTTCCATAGATATGGGACCCAAAACTGCTCATAATATCCAAATGTGGTCAGACTAGAGCATTATGCAGCCTCAGCAGTACAACTCTGCCCTTGTATTCCAGCCCTCTTGAAATGAATGCTAACATTGCATTTGCTTTCCTAACTGCCAACTGAACCTGCATGTAACCTTAAGAGAATCCTGAACTAGAACTCCCATGTCTCATTGTGCTTCAGCTTTCCAAAATCTTTCCCTGTTTAGAAAACAGTCTGTGTCTCTTCTTCCTACTAAAGTGCATAACCTCACACTTTGCTACATTGTATTCCATCTGTCACTTCTTTGCCTGCTCTCCTAGCCTGTCCAAGTTCTACTGCAGCCTTCCTACTTCTTCAACATGACCTCCAGCCATCTTTGTATCGTCTGCAAACTTAGCAACAATGCCCTCAGTTCCTTTGTCCAGATTGTTAAAGTATAGCATGAATAGTTGTTGTCCCAATACGGGCCCCTGCGGAATTCCCACTAGTCACCAGCTGCCGTCCTGAAAAAGACGCCTTTTTCCCCAATCTTTGCCTACTGCTGGTCAGCTAATCCTCTATCCATGCCAGTACCTTGCCCCTAACACCATGAACTCTAATCTTATTTAGCAGCCTCCTGGGCAGCACCTTTCACAGGCTTTCTGGGAATCCAAATAGATCATGTCCACTGGATCTCCTTTGTCTAACATGCTCATTACCTCCTCAAAGAATTCTTGACGAAGCCTTGCTGACTCAACCCTATTTTAGTATTCACTTCCAAATACTCCGCAATCTCATCCTTAATAATGGACTCTAAAATCTTACCAATGACAATGGTCAGGCTAATTGGCCTTTAGTTTCCATCTTCTACCTCCCTCCCTTCTTAAACAGAGGTGTCACATGATCCATTTTCCAGTTCTCTGGGACTCTCCCTGACTCCAGTGATGCTTGTAAAATCACCACCAATGCCTCAAATTTCTGCTCAGCAAGCTTCTTCAGAACTCTGAGGTGTAGTCTATCTTGTCTGGATGATTTATCTACCTTCAGAACAATCAGCTTCTCCAGTGCCTTCTCCTTAGTAATGACAAAACCTTTAGCTTTCATCACAATAAAATTTGATTGCCATTTATTGTCCATACAGAAATTCATTTTGGGTCCTGTTTAAAGAAAATAGCATATAAATGAATAATAGCAACAAAAGACAAAAATTACTTTAGCCCAGAGATCCAACTTTAAAGTATTTATTAAAAACTACACCAATGCAATAAAATAATCAGTCAGTGAGACTCACCCTAAGTACATATTCAAGTCCATACATGAATTGCTTGTTAAGGGCATAAATGAGTTCAGTAACTAATTTGTCCTGCGTCTGACAGTTCAAAGGGGGGATTCTCATTGTTCATGGCATTCTTTGCTCTCATCAAAATACTTCAAGGACAGATTTTGTCAAAAAAGGTCTTCTCATCAAATACCCTTCCTGCCTGGTTCGCTTTCCTAAAATAATAGTACCATCCAAAAAGGATAACACTCAATCACAGCCAAATGAAAGGGTTTCATAATTGTAAGATGTACTGAAAAGGAGACTGTTTAATTATTTAAGTTCCTTGGCCACCACATCTGTATACTATTCCCATCAATTCAACTTATAGTCTAGTTTGTCACCTAAATGTTCATGACTATTTCAATGTCCACATGAATCTTTGCAGGAATGATATTATTGACCAGTTTTTATTTTAAAGACAATGACTGGGTTTCTGAAGAAGGGTCCAGACCCGAAACGTCAGCTTTCCTGCTCCTCTTATGCTGCCTGGCCTGCTGTGTTCATCCAGCTCTACACCTTGTTATCTCAGACTCCAGCATCAGCAGTGCCTACTATCTCTGACTAGTGCATTTGACTTGTTTTTGTAAAGTTTAAGAGAATTGTTACCAGACCATTTTGCAAACCTCTCCACTGAGTTCCTGTAGTTTTGTTCATTATTTCTGATGAGACCCATGCTACTGTATCATTAGCATATTTGCAGTTTGTTATGCTGTCATGTTCTGATTGTCGGTCATTTATATAGATAATGAGATATATGGAGGAGATCTAGTATTTTCACAGCCACTAAGTAAAACGTGGAAACTAACATCCATTAGCTATTGTTCGAAAGAAAGTCATGACCTAAAATGGGAGAGTAGAATTTAATATGAAGTTCTTTTTTTTTCAAAAAGCTTAAGTGGTTACATGGAATGAAAAGCTGAAGAAAACGACAACTTGGGTAGCGCAAACAGGGCTACCTAATCTATGTTAGATCAAATGGATCGAAGTCAGACCAAAACCATCCATTGATTCATAAAGTTGATAGACAAAATGTAAGTGATCAATATGTGGAAGAAGACCTAAAAGACTCTTAGACACAATGTGCTTGAGACACTTCTTTGCTCTTGTTACAAGAGTCAGTAGTCTGTCAGCTCAAGAGCCTGTGACTTAGCAACTGGGGAAATGATATCATTGGACTAGTAATCCAGAACCCCAGGCTAATGTTCTGAGGACATGGGTTCAATTTCCACCATGACTAGTGAAATTTCAATTCAGTTTTTGAAAATAAAATATGAAATTAAAAAGCTAATTTAATGGCAATGATATAACTGCTGTCGATTGTTATTTTTAAAAAAATCCAACTGGTTAACTAATATCCTTTAGGGAAGGAAATCTTGCATCCTTTGGTGGCTCCTGCATGTGACTTCAGAACCACAGCAATGTGGTTATCTCATAACTGTCCTCTGGGCTGCCAGGGGTAGGCTATAAATGTTGGCCTAGCCAGCGACCCCAATGTCCAATGAACAGAAAACAAAATGGTGGCTGATGTCCAACAATAAGGAACAATTTCTGAAAGAACAGAATGAGGAATTTCTTAAGAATTTTTCTATTGATGTGATCTGGACATTGTTTTCCATGGATTCACTCGCTTGAATTGTTTCTCTCTCTTCCATTTATTGGTAGTAGCACAAAATCCTTCTCATTCTGAACTCCAGTGCTGAAGAAGGCTCACTGGGCCAAAACATCAACTCTGATTTCTCTCCACAGATGCTGCCAGATCTGCTGAGATTTTCCAGCAATTTCTGTTTTTGTTTCTGATTTCCAGCATCAACACTTCTTTTGGCCTTTTCACAAAATCCTTCTAGTTCACTAAGTAAAGTCTGCTGCAGAATCACACATTCCTTAAATTCATCATTTTCAAACCCACTAAAAAATTTCATTCAGAACATTAGGAGGATGATCTGTGGACAAAAAGGTACAAGTTATCTTCTTAATTGAGAAGCCTGATATTTTATTCCTCCTTTCCTCCAGGGAAAATCTCTCATTTCTTAGGGTAGTTGAGGTTGAGAAGGGTTGCACTTAAATACGTGTGAGAGCAAATGGAGAGACGATTTTTTTTTTGTGTCCTATCATCACATGGTTTGAGAACTCTCATCAACTGCTGTTACAACAACTTATTTATATTGTATCATTAACACAATGAAGTATGCAATTCACAGGAGCATTATAAAACCAAATTATGATACTGAGCTACATAGCTTCCTATATTTGGTTAGATGGCGAAAACCTTGTTCGAAGAGGGACTTTAGTGTTAGAGAAGAAAGTGCATGGAAGAAATTTCATTCAGCTCTAACTCCATTTACAAATTTGCTGATGACACCGCTATAGTGGGTCGGATCTCAAACAATAAGTGCAGTAAAGAGATGGACAGCTTGGTGAGATTCTGTAAAGACAACATTTTCTCCCTCAATTTCACCAGAACGGAGGAGTCAGTTATTGATTTCAGGAAGCAGAGTGGAGGACACACCCCTGCCTGTATCAATGGGCCTGAGGTGGAGATGGTCAAGAGCTTGAAGTTCCTGGGAGTAAATATTAGCAACAATCTGTTCTAGTCCATCAACATCGATGCTACAGTCAAGAAAGCACACCAATGCCTCTGCTTCCTCAGAAAGCTAAGGAAAGTCGGCGTGTCCACAATGACTCTTACCACTTTTTATAGATGCACCATAGAAAGCATCCTATCCAGATGCATCACAGCTTGGTATGGCAACTGCTCTGCCCAAGATTGCAAGAGATTACAGAGTTGTGAATGCAGCACAGTCCATCATGAAAACCAGCCTTTCTTCCACTGACACCATCTATACTTGCTGCCTCAGGAAAGCAGCAAACATAATCAAAGACCCCTCCCACCCCAGTTATATTCTCTTCCACCCTCTTCTGTCGGTCAAAAGATACAAAAGTTTGAAAACACTTACCATTAACATAGATTAAAGATCAGCTTTTTCCCTGCTGTTGTCAGACTTTTGAACAGACGTCTCATATAATCTTTCTCTGCACCTTCTCTGCTGTAACATTATATTCTGCAGTCTGTCCTATTACCCTGATATACGTACATAAGGGATGATTTTGTCTGGATAGCGTGCAAACAATATTTTTCATTGTATCTCAGTACGTGTGACAATAATAAATCAAATCAAAGTAGGTTAGTGAGCACAGAGCTAATAGAGGAAGTAGAGAAAAAGATGGCGTGAGATGGCATTTAAGACATTTAGAATTTGGATGATCACCATCTTGAACTCCAAACTATTTGAATACAAATTATTATAATGCTGTAAATCTGTTAAACTGTAATAAATAAGCATCCAAAGCAGAGGAAGATGCATAGAAAGACATGAAGAGCAGAATATTCGGTTTAGGTTTTGAATTTTCTAGCAAGGATCTGCCTTTGTTGTTACAAACTTGTTTGATCCTCTCTTTTTAAACTATGTTCCTCATACAGATCGAGTAAAAATGCTCACTACTATAAACTTTTTCTAGAGTCACAGAAGAGGAGGGAGGAAGACCTAAATAACATGAAAACCCATTATGAAAAGATAATTGGCCAAGAACGTACACTGAAAACACAAGTAGGTTTTTAAAAGCTCCCCCAACTATGCAAAGCTATGTTCTAATACAGTTTTTGAATGATTTGTATTGATTAACTTTCATGCATGTTTCTGTATGTTTGCCTCAATCAGGCTGTTAATAAACTTGCTGAGATTATGAACCGAAAAGATATAAAAGTGGACCGAAAGAAAGCAAATACAGCAGATGTCCGGAAAAAAGAAAAGGAAAACAAAAAATTGCAACTGGAATTGAACCAAGAGAGAGAGAAATACAGTCATATGGTTGTGAAGTATCAGAAGGACCTAAATGAAATGCAGGCAGTAAGAAACTTTTACATGGATGTGTTGACTGTCTTTATATTGATACATAATCTGTTTAAATTTGGGCAGTGCACACATCTAATTTGATTTCATATTCACATTGTGTTCAAACACTCCTCCAGTGGTAGCACTGCCGTGACTCTACTTGGGAGGAATTTGATGACAACATGACAGGTTTGCATAGATAGTTTCTATTAGAAATATGTACGTTCGAATTCTATCATAAAAATTAACAAAAAGTGCACAATGAATGACTTCAAAATGGGCACCCGTTTTGTCCATGCATTCCTGGTCTCACATTCCTGAATTTGAGATGAAGGCTGTATATAGTAAAATAGTGTGGACTGCACTGCAGCAAATTCAATATCAAACCAGTTAAGGTAGAAATATGTTCCAAGCCTTCCAGAATGTGGCCAGAAAGTGTTGCGAGTTGCTCAGGTAATCCCAGACAATATTTTGACGTAAGTGATCAGGAACTGTGCAGAGCGCTGTTTAAATGCCATTTCATAGTGTTAATAGTCAAATGCTGTTTTCAGTTCCATAATTTTTAGGGAATAAGTAATGCCATGATGCAGAGTTTTATTATTTATAGCCCTGAGATTGTGATTTATGGTTCCTTGTAGTCACTTCTTAAATCATCAATAACCAATTTAGTTGACAAAGCAGAAATATATTTGATGAAAGTGTTTTTAACTGAAAATAACATCAACAAATTTCTACTATTATTCTGAGATATCTAATTTTTTTCTCTTATTTTGACTGTTTTGTCTCAATATTACAGCAATTAGCGGAGGAATCTAACCTTCGTACAGAGCTTCAAATGCAACTTGATAGTAAGGACAGTGATCTTGAGCAACTTCGTTCTAAGCTTCAAGATCTCCAACTTCGTATGGATAGCACAAGTGTATCCAGTTTACAGACTGAGGATTTGGATGGAAATGTAACTGGTAAGAATGACTCACACTTAATAGTTTTGGCCAAAGTATGTTGTTTGATTTAAACTTATTTTGAACAACTGAAAAATAGTTTGTGATGGTATGGTAAAAGTGGGTTCACTTTAAAAAATAAAATCATCAAAATTTAGGTAATTTTCTCAAATGTGAATTTAGCTCTAAACTTGCCAGCATTACCATCCATTATTCATTTTTTTCCCAAGTTGTCCTTGCTCAAGAATATGGGCTGGCCAAGTAAAAGAGGGTCAGGTGGTTCAATGGATTAGTATGTTATTGTTTCATTTCTGGAACCATAATTTCAGTTCAGACCAGGAAAAATGTCTCCCTTGGCTGGTGGTTTTCAAATCCTAAATAAAGTTAATTTGGACAATTCTGACATAGCCTGATTAGTAGCAAATATTAAAAAAGTGGTTACATTCCAGCACATGTAACATTTAATTTAGTGGACAAAATATTGGTTGGTGAAGCAAGTGAAAAATTGATATACATATAAACAAGTGCATCTTCTAGTTTCAGTCAAATATTTTGGGTAAAAAGAGAGAACTTTAGTCTGAAGCTAATGGTTGTATTTGACCTAAATAATATTTAGGGCTAACTCTACACATTCACGAGTGAAAGTGATTGATTCTAAAGCAATATCACCCCACCTTGAAGCATGACATGTACTTGAATGCTGACAAAAGAAGAGAGGAAATCAAGTAAGTCCTATCTTCCAATTCTCCTTAGATAGGGGAAGGTGTCACAGTACTGAAGAAATGCAAATATTGCTCCTTGGTTCAAAACAGAATGTAAGCCTAAATTCACCAACAACAGGCCAGTTATTATAACGTTTGTGATGGGAGATGACAATCCAGGTCAAAATTAACTGACGCTTAAGTAAGTGTAGATTAATTGGAAACATCCAGCACAGATACGTTAAAGGTGAATTTAACCAACTTGATTGAGATTTTTGATGAGGGTAATGTGGTCTATATGCTGCTCCAAAAGATTTCATAAAGTATTATATAACAGGCTTGTGAACAAATTTGAAACTAGTGCAATAGAAGCAACAGCAACAGCATGGTTGTGAAGTTGATTGAATGGTAGAAGTAATGGTAAATAATTAATTTTCAGACTGGCAGAACGTACAGAGTAAGCATCCCCAGAGATCGGTAGAGTCATACAGCATGGAAACAGGCCCTTTGGCCCAATTTGTCCACGCTGACCAGGTTTCCTAAACTGAACGAGTCCAATGTGTCAGCATTTGGCCCATATCCCACAAACCTTTTCCTATTCATGTACCTGTCTAAATGTCTTTTACAAGCACCACGGCATTTCTTGATGAATATTAAAGACTTAGCCTTAACTATACAACTTCAAAATTTGCAAATGACATAAATTGAAAGTACTGTCAGCCATGAGGACAATAGCAATAGACTTCAAGACAACTTTGTGGAAGAATGAGTAGACGTGTGGTAGATTAAATTTAATGTAGAGAAGTGCGAAGTGATGCATTTTGTTAGGAAGAACAAGGAGAGGCAATAGAATATAAAGGATATAATGATAAACGGGCTGCAGGAACAGAGACATCTACAGGTACTTGTTCACAAATGTTCAAAGCAAAAGGACAGTTTGAGAAAGTAGTCAGCTTCAGACTAACGTTCTGTCTTTTTATCCAAAATATTTGACTGAAACTAGAAGATACACTTCTTTAATTGTAAATCAATTTTTTTACTTGCTTCACTAGCCAAATGTTGAAAGCAGAAGGACAGTTTGAGAAAGTAGTGTAAAAGCCTTATAGGATCCTGAACCTTATAAAATGAAACATGGGGCCAGATTTTCATGTCAAACCAATTCCCAGCTTTGGAAATTCACATCATCTTCTCACCCAACTCTAGCCACATTTATGTTCTAAAAAAACATGGACAGAACAAGAGTGGGTTTTGTGGCCCACAATTACTTATAGGTCGAGAAGAGTTTCAGTGTGGAAATGCTAGTGCAAAGCCAATTCTGTTCTCAGACATCAGCACAGCTTTCCACATTTTTCTTGTGACCTACTGCTCTCACTCTCATTCACCTATGTCTTTATGGTCCATTCCCGTAATACACCTATGCCCCCTCCATTCTTCTTGCATATCCCATTCCCCTTCAATAGCCTTATATATTATCTATAGCCATTCACCTAGTCTCCACTGAATAGACCTTGAGAACAATGTAATATTAATAAGACATATTTGACATAGATATGAAAACATCAAATCCCTGATCATCTAATACAGCTGTCACTCGAACACACAACCATTAGTACTGAAAATATTCCAGATCGATTGAAAAAATGTCAATTCAGTTGTAGAAGCAATCAAGCATCTAATCATAAATGACGTGGAATATATGAATAACCTCTGAAAGCTGTCAATCAAACCATGTAAAAACACACCCCTGTAAAGTAAAGTGCATTAGAAGTTTTTGAAAATCAGCCAAACATTCATAACTGGCTCAGCTCTTAAAACAAACCATGGCAGCTCCAGATACTGTAGCCTGTTGAAAAAAACGAACAGATGGCTCTTCGTTTTCCAGGCTATACTAAATAGATTTTCATTAAAGGATATCAGGAGTAGGGGTAACTTTTTTTTCCAAAGTAAGATACTATAGACATTTAAATCACTAACTGATCTTAATACTAACATTCCCAACCATTGTTTTCTATAGTTTTGAATGCATTTTATGGATCGTTAAGGAGAAATCTGACAGAGCAGTGTCACAAGCTTTCTCATTTTTACGTCGAAACAAGCTTTATTGTCTTTGAGAGGAATTAAACAAAGCAAACTCTTTTCTCTTAACACTGTAGTTTTTAAGTACTTAGACCAATCACTTGATTCCAACTTTTGGTTTGTCCTAACCCAAAAGAAATCCCTAATACATTATATCAGTCTAGGAGGTTTATTCACTTCTTTATCAGTTAACCACAAGGTATGCCATAGTTCTCTAGAATTCTTTTTAATTCTCTTCAGCATTTGGCCCATATCCCTCTAAACCCCTTCTATTCATATACCCATCCAAATGCCTTTTAAACGTTTTAATTGTACTAGCTTCCACCACTTCCTCTGGAAGCTCATTCCATACACGCACCACCCTCTGCATGAAAAAGTTGTCCCTTTGGTCCCTTTTAAATCTTTCCCCTTTCACCTTCAGCCTATGCCCACTAGTTTTGGACTCCCCCTCCCCAGGGAAAAGATCTTGTCTGTTTACCCTATCAATGCCCCTCATGATTTTATGAACCTCTGTAAGGTCACCCTTCAGCCTCCGATGCTCTAGGGAAAATAGCCCCAGCTCATTCAGCCGCTTGAAGAGAAGTAACTTGTAGGACAATGGGGATCCAGTAAAATTGCTCTCATTGAAGTTTTTACTGTCTCACTGGGTTGAATTGCTGCCTTCTGTGTTGTAACCATTCCATGGTTGTGTAAAAAATGATATGAGAGAAGAATTAAAATTGTTGCATCTGTAATCATCTCTATGATACTGTTCCAGTTTTGCTTTTCTGCTGAAAAGTATTCTTATTGTTACTGATACTTGATTTTAAATGCACAATTTGCACTGACATTGTCTTACTCAGGTACTGATTTGCTCGCATTATTCGTTTGTACATTAAAAATCCATTTACTTTAAGGGTTATTTTTCTTAAAACTCTGACAGAAAATAAGGTTCTAGTTTCTTTTTATGGAAATGCCTTTTTATTCTTTGTGCCTAGTTGGGTGTTCCTCTTGCAACACATGTCTTATCTATCTTTTTCCAGTGAGTAAATTGAAAGCCTTGTTCTATTTGCACTTTCTGCATGCTGGCTGACATTTGATGTCTGACTCTTTTGTATCTAATTAAGTCGCTGTGATGTTTAAGGAACAGCATTCCTTTTTGTCCATCCATAGTCTTAATTGATGAACTACACAGTTACCCAAGAGAAGATTTTAACATTTAATTTAATTAGAACACACAGATACAACAAGAAACAGTCATTAGTACTTCCATTTACCATAATTTTCAAATGACCGTTCAAGACTAAGAAATGTTTATGAAGTTTCAGAAAAGATTAATGACTAAATAAGTCAAAAGTAATGCATTAATCCTTTGATATTCAGACTTTTTAAAAAATAGTTCTAAGTTTTACTATATATGATCAAAAATATTTATCTAATTTACATACGGAGCATGATAAAGTAAAATTAGGGAAATTTTACTAATTTCCCATAGCATTATAATTTCCTTATTTTTTGCTGTAATGCAAAACCACCATTGTAGTTTTCAGAGTTCATCTTGTTCAAAGGATGCTGTCTTTTAAACCTTTAAAATATCAAATTTTAATAGCATTATTGTAAAAGTAATGAATGCAGCTTGGCATGGTTTTTTTTATAGACAATCATTGTTGCTTTAATCTTATGCAACTGAATTACCTACAGTTTTCAACATGTTTATCACAACTTTGAAATCTTCTAAAAATCACAATGATATTTTGTAGGAAAATATGATTGTAAGGTTCAGAAAAGACTGCTCAAATCTAGATATCATGTTTTAGTGTACTGAACTATGATGATCTTCTACTTCTCATATACATGCTGTCCCTTGGTGACACCATCACTTTGCACAGATACACTGAAGGCACAGTACCTCACTACCATAGTATCTTTGTTATCAGACTGTTTGTTCAACGCTCAAGAGTTTTTTTTTCCCCAAGTAAAAATTAGGTATACAGAAGACATCATATCCTGGACCCAACACAAAGTTACTTCTCTCACCAATAATTCTGATGTCAACCCTGCCATTATGTTTATTGAGCCACTGCTCCCTCAGCATCTTAGTTGACCTTGAATTGAGCTCCTGACCTCATATTCTCTCCGCCACAATGATTGTCAACTTCCATTCCTGCCCTTGCTTATGCTCTGCTAATAATTCATAAACTTCAGCTCATCCAAAACTCAACTGCCAATATCTTCACATCCATAAAGTCCTGCTCACCCATTTCCCCTGTAATCACCAATCTATATTGGCGTCAGGGCCACCAAAACATAATTTTTAAAATCCCTCCATAACCTCACCTTTACTATTGCTGTAATCATCCTGCTCTACAACACAAAAAAGCTTGCAATTCTCCAATTCTGCCCTCTTGATCTTTTAACTTGGTTTCTACTAATTTACATTTAAAGCAACTGATTTCAAAGTACTTTTTTTAAAGAGTCCTTCAGGCTCTGTATGTATTCTATCAGTTTTTTTTAATAATAGTTACCACTCTACTTACTGTTGATTGTAAAAAGGAATATTTTAACTAATTTTCAACATATAGTATATTAATGAGAGGAATTGATTGACTCTTGATTGTTAGCATTTAACATATATTAATAGTTACTTGGTGACATTTGCTGCAGAGTTTCTGAAAACTATGCATATGAAGTGAAATCTTTGAGATCAATTTACTTTGGGCAGGAACAGTAAATGCACTTAAATTGGAATCTGCGATTCATGTTAAGAAATGTCAAGTGAAAAATAATTGTTTTCGTCATAGTAATAATGTCTATCCTCACTTTACACTATCAAATTACTTCAAATAAAAGCAAAGTACTGTGGATTCTAGAGATCGGAAATAAAAACAGAAATTTCTGGGAAACTCAGCAGAATCTGTGGAGAGAGAAACGGATTTAGCATTTTGAGTTTGATATGGCTCTTCTTCAGAACTGTTTTTAATATCAAGAATTGCTTCAGTTGGTTCTTTTTAGTAACTTAATTTGTGAATGAGTGCACATTCTCAAATTATGATATAATGCTAAATAAAAAGAAAATATCCCGTTGCATAGATAGGACTGCGGTCTTGCACATCTATACAGTTCTTACTACTTGCGTGATATTACTTTATTAGGAATGGACTTGGTTGGATAGAGGCCAGGCTGCAAGTCAGTGTACCCAAGTACTTCCTGGACCTTACTGGAGCCTATACATTGTTTGTTCTACATGACAAATATCCTACAGGTTTTTTTTTTTGCTATGTCTGTGTTGTAGTAGTTTATTTCAATTTTGAGATTATTGCATAGTAATGTATATATGAACAAGGAACAAGAGTAGGTCACTTTGTCCTTGGAGGCTGCTCCGCCATTCAGTAAGATCATAGCTGACCTGATATTGAACTTAAGTCTACATTCCCGTATATTCTTGATAATCTTTCATCTCTTTGGTAATCAAGGGAATATTAACTTGCTTGAAGAAACTAAAGGTGGATGAGCCTGGAAGTGTTGTTCTTTGCTTCACTGTTAAGAAAACTTGATAGCTTCCAAAACCTCCGTCAAGAAGATCCAGAGGCAAAAAGAGACCAAAATATGGCAGGGAATCAAGGCAGTCTGTACGATTCTACACCAACTGCCTCCTTTCACAGACCCCAAGAAAAAACTAAAGAATGCCCTGAAATGTCAATAGCTCTGACCTTGGCTGCCAAGAATAACACATCCTGGGGCTCATTTGTCTTTATGTGTTAAGAAAAACTTGCATTTATGTATTCTTTATCAGTATCTCAAAGTGCTTAATAGCCAATTAGGTACTTTTGAAGTGTGCTCATTTTTCAAGTAAGACCGTAAGATGTCGGAACAAAAGAGGACATTCAGCCCATTGAGTCTGCTCTGTTATTCAGTGAGATCGTGGTTGATCTAAATTGTTAACTCCACTTTCCTGACTTTTCCACATAACCCTTGATTTTCTTTTTGATTAAAACTCTGCCTATCTCTGCCTTGAATATATTTAATGAACAAGCTTCAACAGCTCTCTGTAGTAAAGAATTCCATGGATTTACTACCCTATGAGAGAAAATATCCTCATCATCTCTGTCTTAAATGTGCGACACATTATTCTGAAATTATGAATGTTGGCCCTAGATCATCCCACAAGGGGAAACAACCTTTCCACATCGATCCTGTCAAGTCCCCAAGAATCTTGAGTATTTCAATAAGGGCGTCTCTCATTCTTCTATATTCCTATATTCCAATGGGTACAAACACAATCGTCGGTACAAACACAATTCGTCTTAATCTCCCCTCATAAGACCGCCCCATCAGACGTGATATCAGCCTAGTGAATCTTCTCTGGACTACCTCCAATGCCATGATATCTTTCCTTAAATGAGGGGTCCAGAACAGTTTACAGTATTCCACTGTGGCCAGACTAGTACTTTGTACAGTTTAGCAAAATCTTATTACTTTTATATTTCATTCCTGTTGAAATAAAGGCGAACATTACATTTGCCTTCCCTATTAGCCACAGAACTTGGATGCTATATTTCTGTTATTCATGGACGAGGACTCCTAACCTCCTCTGTTATGTAGCTTTCTTCAGTCTTTCATCATTTAAATAATATTCAGTTCCTCTATTCTTCCTGCCAAAGTACTTAACCTCTCATTTCCCAATATTATTTTCTACCTGCTGAGTTTTTGCCTGCCCACTCAATTTAATCTGTCTATATCCCTCCGCAGACTCATTGTACCAGCCTCACCACTTGCCTTCCCACCTATTTTTATGTCATCATAAATTTAGCTGTAGTGCATTCACTTTCCTCAACAAGTTACTAAAATTGTGGCCACTGCACTGATCCCTGTGGCATACCACTAGTATGGGTTGCCATGCTGAAACTACCCCCCAAATCCCATCACTTAAAAATGAAAACCGGCAGCCAATTAATGCTCAGTCAGCACCACAAATGGTGCTATGTTAATGACTAGTTAATTGGACCAGGTTGCTAGCAGACCAGGCCAGAAATGTATGTAGTATTCACTCCAGGCTGCACTTAGCCTTAAAGTTAAGGTCATCAAATTGTTGCATACAGTTTGAATTTTGAACCCAGACTTCAACTTCCATAATTTTTAATAACCTTTTAAGATATCTCTTGACCTTATCTCTTAATCCCAATAGTTTAAGAAGGGAATAAAGAGATATTACTGGCAGCCTGATCGTGAGATCTGTGTCATTTCTGTAATTCTATATGCCAAGACCAAAGATGGTGACGTGGTTTTCACAAACAGAATTACTTTTAAAGTATATTTATTCACTTCAACCTATTTTTGAAATTAGAAACCAGGATGGAGGGCTGGTTATCGATACCAAACAGGGCAAACATCAAAAGATATGGATGGAAAAAACAGGTATGAAACTTGTTTCTTTTAAATTTCAAAGATGTACAATGCACTGTTGAATTGCACATTTAACATGGACAAAATATCCTTTTTGATAAAATGTTTTTAATGTAGATCTAACTAACAACATCTGGTTTAAAATATAAATAGAGTAATAAATATGCAAATATTCATGAGAAAGTAAAATTTCTTATTCACACTAGGTAACAGCATGTATTTAAAATTGAAATTGGGAACTTGAGGAGAGTGTTGTAAAGCAGAGGTTGACCCCCCTCTGATAACTAAAACTGAAACACCCAGAGAGGCTCACCTTGCCTCATAATCTATTAAAAGAAGTGTGAAAAGTAGTATAATCTGCCTCTCACCTCCCAATTTGTGATTAAACAAAATGAAATCCTTTCACTCACTCTCTAATCAATAAGTAACAATTTATTTATCTAACCGCGAACAAATTAACAGGTCTACTAACAAACCAAACAATTCCCTTCTAACTACCAACTATTCCCGAATAAAACAAGATTCTAATGATATGCTGTTCCAATAGATGTAAGTACCACTTGTGTAAACCAAAATAATAAAAAAAATTAAAACTTAATGTCTCAAAATTACAGCCAGGATACGTCTTTTGGGATGTTCTCCACTGTTCTTCAGTCAGGAACACCTTTCTCCGTCGTATTCTTATGTCAGGAATATTAGCTAAGAGTGCTGCTATACCTTTAGCTAGATGATGGTTACTCTGAGAGTTTAAAGAGTTCTGTGAGAGCCAGTGATTTTTTTTTTCCTTTAGAGCTGATGGGTTGTTAACTCTATTAGATGTCAGTTGCTCTCACACCAATTTTCAAATGACTTGTTCTTTTATAGCCTTGATTATCTATTAATTTCTTACAATAGGATTGGTCCCAGGTTGTCAAAACCATCAGATTTAAATTTAATCAGAGATAGTAGGAACTGCAGATGCTGGAGAATCCGAGACAACAAGGTGCAGGGCTGGATGAACACAGCAGGCCAAGCAGCATCATAGGAGCATTCTCTAAGTGCCTGGTTTAAATTAATTGACTGATTTTCAAAATGGTTGTCTTAATAACAAAATGAACTACTCCTGAGTTGCTAACCACACAGTCTTTTGATACAATGTTTTAAATTCAGGAGATCTCTGTGCACTGCATATTTGTTATAATCTCCAAGCCTAGAAAAAACACATCATCTTTTAAAGGGACCACACACTTTTCCCCCCTATCATTTTATAAACATCAAATTCTAACATCCTACCTTCCAATCCACAAATATTCCTCCCAACTTCACAACAAGAGAATACTATCATGCAGCTACTTGACCAGCTGTACTATTCATTTAGGCTCTTAGCTGCTCTGCAATTTAATTTCATATTTCTTCCTCAGCACCATGTCCTGGGAGCATTACTCCATTTTTCGGTAGTGGCAGAGGCTCTTCCTGACCTCTTTGCAATTTTATGTGGGGGCAGGCAAGATCAATGATGGTTTGCCTGCTCTCACCACAGTTAAGGCACTTAAGTGGTGAAGAAGAGGTATTCATGGCAGGATGCAAGCCCAGCAGATCAGTCTGCTCTGGCCTTGGGCAAGAGGGGGAAGTTCCTCCTTCAACATTGGGCAGAGATGCTTTCAAAGTCGGCCCTCTCATAGCAGTGTGAGGGGTGGAAGTTTAGTCTCAAATGGGACTGCTGGGATGCGCCTTGCCAATTTTTCGGGTGGCAAGGTGGGACATTCCATTATCTGATAATTCTTGCTTTGATATCCTTATCTAACCAAAATGTATTAGTCTTATCCTTGAAAGCTCAAATTGGCCTCATATCCACAAACATTTTGGCAGAGTTCCCTGTTGGCACTATTCTCTGTGTGAAAATTTACTTTTTGATTTTGCTCCTGAATGGTCTGGCTCTAACTTTTGAGTGTGTCTTCTTGACTGTGATACCTTAAGCAAGGGAATAGTATCTCTGTTTCTACCTTATCAATTTCCTATCATCAATTTAAAAACCTTGATCAATCTCTTAAGTAGAAGTGAATACAAGCCTAGACATACTTCAGGAGATATTGTATTGACCCTGTCATGTGTCTCTTTCTAAAAGGTAATATATCCTCCAAAAAGGTAGTGCCCATTTTTGAACTTCATACCCCAGATGAAGTGTGGCAAGGCTATATACAGCCAAAGTAGTCATTTTCCCTTTTACATTTCCAGCTTCCTCGAAATAAGACCAAACTTTATTAGTCTTTTCAATTGATTTTTGTACCTACCAATAGTTTTTAATGATTTATTATACCTGGACTCCATAGATTAAATTACAAGGAGAGATCACCCAAACTAGGGTTGTATTCCCTGAAGATTAAGTGACTTTACCAAAGTTTTTCAGATATTAAGGGGATCGAAAGGGTAACAGAGAGAAATTATTTCTGATTTGGAAGTCTAAGACGAGAGGACATTGTTGAAAAATTAGAACTAGGCTCTTTCAGAAGTGAAGCCATGAAAAATTTCTATTTGAGAGGTTGTAGAAGTTTGGAACTGATTTCTACAAGAGAAGCCATGTTATGATGATATTGTCACTGGACTAGTAATCCAGAGGGCCAGGATAATGTTCTGGGGACATGGGTTCTAATCCCACCTTGGCAAATGGCAAAATTTGAATTCAATAAAATCTGCAGTTAAAAGCTGGTCTAATGTCAAATCTGTTGACTATCATAAAAACACATCTGGTTTACTGTCCTTTAGAGAAGGAGATCTGCCATATTTTTCTGGTTTACCCAAAATCTAGTTGATTCTTAACTGCCCTATGAAGTAGCCACTCAGCTCAAAGGTAATTGGAGATGGGCAAGAAAAGTAGGCCTTGCTAGTATGCCCACATCCCATGAAAGAATTTTAAAATTAACTGTTTTGCTAAACAAAGGCAATGGGGCTAAAGAGTGAAATTAAGCCACCTGACATTGAATGACAGGACAGTTTAAAAGAGTAAAGTGGCCGCTTCCTGTTCCTTTGTGAACTTGAATTCCCAAATTTCTTGTCTTTCTGTAATTCCTGGTTTTACACCATTTAGAAAATATTCTGATTTACCTGTTTGTGTGTCCAAGCTCACATTTGTCCCATTGAATTCAAAGTTTTGCCAGCAAATACAGCTCGTCTTGATAATCAGACCTCCAAGATTTTGTTAATAATGTTGGTCATGCACATAAGAAAATTTCAGTTTGGATAGTCAGATTGTGCTGACCAGCGTGGTGACTTTTTTTCTTGGATTTTTGCTAACAAATGGAAATTTTTTTTAAAAAATCTTTTGTATATCTTTATAAAATGTTGTTTAAAATGTTCATTGTAATGCCAAACTTTTCTTTTATCAAAGTATGTCGTGGTCAGCAGCAGAAAAATACTATTTTACAATGATGAATTGAATAAAGAGCAATCAAATCCATCCATGGTACTGGATATAGAGTAAGTACAACCTTTTTAATACTGAGGATGTTGCAGACAAAAGACATAACAAATAGGGGATCCAAAGTGGAACACACAATTGGATGAGTAACTTGTCTGAATTAGAAATTGTAGGATACTGATTGGAGGCATAATGTCTGACTGGGAGGTGGAGGGGTGGACACTGATTGAAACAAATTCTAGTAGGGGTACTTCTGTTGTTTCACATAATGGGAATGGCAGCAAAGAGGAAATGTTACTTGGCAAGTAATCCAGAGGCCTGACCTAATGCTGTGGAGACATGAGTTCAAATCGTACTGTGGCAGCAGATGTAATCTAAATTCAGTTGGTTTTAGTACATCTTTGTAATTACAACCATAAAACTTGAGGATTGTTATAAAAAGCCATCTCGTTCACAAATGCCCTTTAGACCCTGGACCAATGATTTAATGCTCTAAGTGCAGGCACAGGTCACAAAAAAAATTCTTCTCTGGACAAAGCCTGTCCATCTACAAAACACAAGCCTAGATGCCTAGATGAATGCAGCTTGAGTAACGTTCACAAAACTTGGCACCATCTAGGTTAAAACAACCCACACCTTTAGACTCAATTCACAGTCTTCACCACTGGCCCACAGATGCAGTGGAACATCATTCACAAGATGCACTGCAGGAACTTGCCAAGGCTCTTTCAACAGATATTTTCAGACTTGTGAGCTCTACCAGATTTAAGAATGTGGGCAGCAAATGCCTGGGAATGCCACCACCAGCAATCTCGCTCCAAATCACACAGCATCCTGACTTGGACTCTGCTAATTTTGTCAATATCAACTGCTGAAGAGTCCAGCTTTAACATATTGCACTGGAAAACAAAGCCAAACTATGAAACTTACTTTCGGGCCTAGACCCTTCTTCAGAAATCTCCTCTGATGCTGGTTGGCCTGCTGTGTTCATCCAGCTCTACACCTTGTTATCTTAAACAGGATGCTGCTCCATTTACATGATAAATTTGATGCTGAGAACAGCAAAGACAGATTTCCCTTTCTATACACCAACTTGATGACGTGAAGACATAACAAGGGACTTGTACTTTCTCACCAGATAGTATAATCATGACCTATGAGGAATTTCAATCTGAATCATAAGTTGCAACTTTTTTTGTTGGATTCAAATGATTAATCAAAAGATTAAAAATATATAGTAACAGCCTATCGTCTTCAGCAATTAGTTTCTAGTTCCCATGAATAAGCATTTTATGATTGGTTTTCTTTCTAGAGAATTTTTAACTCCAAGTAATTTTATAAATAAGTAAAATTATGAAAAGGTTGCATATCCAACAATAAAGTTAAAAATGTTTACATTCATTTTATCTTGAATTACATATTAACAAGCATGTACGTAATGAAATCTGAGAATCACTTGTATCTCTAAGTAATTGTCTTCATGTTCCAGCAAATTATTCCATGTTCGTCCTGTAACACAAGGTGATGTATACAGGGCAGAAACTGGTGAAATTCCTCGAATATTCCAGGTGGGTTATTGAGCTCAGCTAGTTTCCATAAAATGATTTTTGGTTTTTATTATTCTCTGTACTCTAAGAAATGAAGGTATGTTATGGTTGTAAAGAAAAGAGCTTGTTCATGTACAGTGAAAATATATTGGGCCAGAAATTCTGTAGCAGAGAGGTTAACAGAACTCCCCATTAAACTGTAAATTGAACAACAACCTCCAGCAACAGTAACTGAGCAATTAAAGGCCAAAAATCAGCAAGTTACTATCCAAGCTTTTTACAACGTTGCACTGTAATGGTGCCTCGTTAAGAAGTCCTATAGTGAAGCAGGTGGAAATGAATGTTGTTAAACTCGCTTGATGTAAACACACTGAGTTCAGGAGAGGTTAATTGGATTTATCCCATTCCCCTTTCTCAGGATGTAATCACCATATCAAATTGGAATTGTTGACTATACCTGGTTCAGACAGACACTGCTGCACATTAACCATTTCTCTCTCTCTCTGCTCCTCTCTTTCTCTTCCTCCTCCTCCCTCCCCTCCTTTTCCTTCCCTGTCCTCTCCCCTTTCTCTTTCTCCTTCTCCTTCCCCATCCTCTCCCTTTCTCCTTCTCCTTCCCTGTCCTCTCCCTTTCTTTTTCTCCTTCCCCGTCCTCTCTATAACTGCCACACAACCAGCTAGATATGCTAAGGCCCAAAATACTTCAATGGAAAAGCATAAAACAAACCTGCATATGAATCAGTCCTCTGGATTGGACGCATTATTGGATAGGTCAGGATGTAGTAGTAGAAGATCTCAATTATCAACAGTTCATATTTAAGGCGCACTTTTATTATAATCAAAGATCTCAAGCTAACTCAAAAAGGAATATTGAGAAACAAAGTATATATATGATCCATATGAGGTGATATTAGCTCAGTTAACCAAAAGCTTGGACAAACAGGTATGTTTTAAGAAGGTTCTTACAAGAGGCAAACAAAGTAGAGAGGAGGGGAGCCAGAGGGAAGGAATTCCAGAACTCTGAACCAAAGCAACTAGGGTCACAGCTTTTAATGGGAAACAGTTATGAATTAAAATGCTCAAGAGGCCAGAATTAGAGCAGATATCTCTGAGGTTTGTCAGGATTGAAGAGATTATAGAGATAAGGAGGGGCAAGGCCATGGAGGGATTTGAAACAACTGTATGATGACCTGGGCCTTAGAGTTTTGATGATTTAAAGTTCACAAATGGTAAAATCCATCCAGCAGTGTCTTGAAATAGATAATTTTATTTCAGTTGATTATAATAATCATGGCTTGTCATTTCCATTCAATTCCATCTAAATGTAGTAGAAAAAAGGCAGGAAAGTGGAATTGAGGGTTATCAGAACAAACTTGATTTTGAATGGTGAAGCAGTCTCAATGGCCTGAGTGCCCTAATTCTGCTCCTATGTCTAATGGCCTTATGATGAAGTCAGTTGCTGCTGATAAGGAAAACTACAAGTTTGAAGAGGAACAAAGTCAGGCCATATCTTTAACATCTTAGAGTAAGGAAGCTGCTTTCTATATTAAGTTCTGGTTAATTACAAATAAAAAGGTAAAGGAGAAAGAAAATAAATATGCCTGAGGGAGCTGCTAAGGAGAACAGAAAACACAGCTTGATAGGTTTGCAAAAGAAAAAGAGCTTACTGAAAGAGATAATTATTCCAAAGAGAAGGTAAAGCTGCTAGATTGATTTAAATCAATACAAGAGGGGAAGCAGAGCTGGAAGGGAAAACTAACTCACAAATTTCAAATACTTTATTGCTCGAAAGGTTTAAGGGTATATGAAAGTTGTTTGCTGGCTCCTAACCCAAGATTATTTCGGAATGAGTAACATGATTAGTAGCCTAGTAATTACATCTACACTTGTAATTATATCTACGCTTGTTCAGCAGCACGACGACGTGGAGAATAGGCAAAAACAGCAGTAGATGTTTTTTGAAGAATGGGGACACAGTGGTAAATGGGAGTAAACATGACCAAAATCTAAATAGGTTTTTGTTTTAAACGTAGTGGATTCCCTGTGGTAGTGTACACAATGAGTCATGGGACCGTGTGGATTTGCAGCTCTCAGCACAGCATTGTATCTCATTCAGAGATAGCTTCTTGGGTTACCCAACTGAGTAAGGGCAGTGGAAGAGATTCTAGTTCCAAGTCAAAGAGAGACAAAGACCAGTCTGTTGGAGAAAATGAAGTCCAGTCTTGCAGAGAATGAGAAAGTGTATTGAATTCAGTTATTGGGCAGAAAGTGAGGAAAGAAGATCAGCTAACGTGAAAGACCCCTTTAAGAGCAAGGGAGAAGATACCGAGAGCTCTGAGTGGGATAAGATGGGGTGAGGGGCAGAAAAGCTTTGTTACCTGCGTCATCTCTGGCCCACCTGAGAGCACATGGTCTGAATGGCATTAAGCATAACCCCATACTGTCCTACGATTTACCTTGTATAATACTACAGAAGAGCCCTAATGTGGAAAAGAAAAACTTGAATATCCATTTGCAGTTTTGCTCATGTTCCCACAGTTACAGATATTGGGCAGAGTGATTCCAAGTATGTGGTTTGATTCACCTTGTGTCTCTAATATTGCAGAATGCTTCTGCTTTTGACAGTTGTGTAGCCAGTTTTGAGGCATTTAACTTTGTGGTTTGAACCATTCATTTAAATTATTGTGTTTTTATGTGTAAATAATCTGTGAAATATGTTACTTTTCAGATATTATATGCCAATGAGGGTGAATGTCGGAAAGATGTAGAAGTAGAAGCTGTGCAGTCAGTTGAAAAACCTGACTTTATATCTCATAAAGGTCATGAATTCATTCCTACACTCTACCATTTTCCTACTAATTGTGAAGCTTGTGCAAAGCCTCTATGGCATGTCTTCAAACCACCAGCTGCACTGGAATGCAGGCGATGCCATGTTAAGTGCCATAAGGATCATTTGGATAAAAAGGAAGATGTGATTGTGCCATGCAAAGGTATTTAATATTTTACATGATCAAAACTAAAACTATGCTAACTTTAGCCAGCATTCTTCATGTTTACAGCAAAAGTCAGTACCTGCTAAAGCAGATTTTTTAAAAAGATCAATCATGGGATGTAGGTGTCCCTATTAATTCCAGCATTTATTGCCCATCCGTAATTATCATTTAAAATTGATGATGTTCCACTTGAACAGCTACAGTTTGTGTAATCTAGATCCTCCTAAAGTGCTATTAGGTGTGCATTCCAGGGTTTTCGATCCAGCAGTGATGAAGGAAAGGCAATGAAAACTTAGAAAATATAAGTAGGTATAGGCCAGTTGGCCCTTTGAGCCTGTTCCATCATTCAATATGATCATGGCTGATCATCCAACTCAGTACCCTGTTCCTGCTTTCTCTCTATACCATTTTATCCCTTTATCAAAGAACTGTATCTAATTTCTTCTTGAAAACATTCGATGTATTGGCCTCAACCACTTGCTGTGGCAGAAAACCACAGGCTCACCAATATCTAAGTAAAGAAATTTCTCTTTCTCCTCAGCCTGAAATGGCCTACCTTACATTGTTAAACTGTGACCCTAAGTTTGAACTCTCTAGTCATCAGGAACATAGTTCCAAGTCAGGATGGTCTTTATCTTGGAGTGGACGTGTTCCCATTTGCCTACCTCCTTGTTCTTGAAGGTGGTGAAGCTCGTGGGTTTAGGGAATGCTGTTGAAGAAGCTTGGTGAGTCATCATGTTGCATCTTGTGGATGGTACCTATTGTAGTTAAAGCGCATCATTAATGTATATAATGAATGTTTAAGGTAATGGATGTGGTATTGAACTCCTGAATCAGTAACCTCAGTGAGTGAAAAGTATTCACTTCTACTCCTGTCTTGTGGATGGTTGAAAAGCTTTGGGAAATTGGGAGGACACACTAAAAAAAACCCAAACCTGAAAAACTTTTCTAGCCATAATATTCAAATGGCTGGTCCAGTTAAGTTTCTGGTCAGTGGTGTTCTTCTGACCTTCCCAGGATATTTCATTGAATCTCGCAAGTATGGAAACAGGCCATTCCACACCAACTCTCCAAATAGCATCCCACCAGATTTACTCTCCGTCCCAATCCCTCTAACCCTGTATTTCCCATTGCTAATTTACCTAACTGGATACTATGGGCAATTTAGCATGACCAATCCACCTAAACTGCACATCTTTGGACTGTGGGAGGAAACCACAGCACCCGGAGTAAACCCATGCAGACAGTGGGAGAATGTGCAAACTTCACATAGACAGTCCCCCGGGTCCCTGGCACTGTGAGACAGCAGTGCTAACCACTGTGCCACTGTGCTGCCCCTATTTCTGTGAGGGAATTGACAGTGGTAATACCGGTGAATGTTATATAGAGATGGTTGGATTCACTTTTCTTGGTAATGAATTTGGCCACTATGTCACTTGCCACTATTCAGCCTAAGCCTGAATTCTGGCCAGATCTTGTTGTATGAAGGCATGAACTACTTCATTATCTGAGGAGACAAATGGAATTGAACATTCCAATTGATTTCATTTGGGCATCCCCATTTCTGACCTTAGGACAGAGGGAATGTCATTGATAAAGCATGTGAAGGTGATTTTGCCAAGGTCTGTGCCTTGAGTAACTCTCACAATGATGTCCTTGGATTGAGATTAAGAGTGTTCAGAAGCCACAGCCATCCTCCATTATGCTGGGTGCTTTTCTGGTCAGTGGAGAGTTTTCACCCCCCCGATTCCTAATGATATCAATTATACTCCTGTCTTATGGATGGTTGAAAAGCTTTGGGAAATCGGGAGAAGACACTAAAAAAAACCTTGATGTCACACTCATTCAAAAACTGTCTTAATATCGAAGGTAATCACTGTCAATCCATTTTTGGCATTCAATACATTTTTTTCCATATTTGGTTCAAGGCTATTATGAGGTCCGAGTCAAAATGAGCATCAGCAAGTTTAGCTTAGCTATACGTCCAGCAAACACACGAATGCTGGAGAAATTTTGAAGAGTCATTTTGGACTCACAACGTTAACTCTTGTTTCTCTCCACACAGATACTGCTAGATCTGCTGAGTTTTTCCAGCATTCTTGTGTTTGTTTCCGATTTCCAGCATCCACAGTATTTTGCTTTTAGCTATACATGCAGTTTGTTTTGGTGCACAAGTCTTCAGTATTACAGCTGTAATGGTGACACACAATTGATCTTTGCTGTATTCTTTGCATTCACCCATTTCTTAACTTCATGTGAAGTGAATAGAATTAACTGAACTCAGATATTTTCTCTAATGATGTTGGCTCAGGAGGAAGCCAAGGTGGATAACCTTTCTAACATTTCCAGCTGAAAATGATTGTAAACACTTCAGCCATGTCTTTTGCATGGCAACTCTTCTCATCATTGAGGATGTTAATGTTTATGGAGCCTCCTCATAGCATTAGTTGTTGAACTGTCCATCACCTTTCGCAAATAGATGAAACAGCACTACATAGCCACGATTGGATCCATTGGTTGTGGACTCACTTTGCAATATGACTACAGACAGAGCTTCTGTTTAGCATGCATTTAGTCCAATGTTTTGTAACTTCAATGCATTGATCTCTCATTGAGCAGGGTTGTTGGTAATGGTAGAATGAGGAATATGCTGCGCCAGGGTACAAATCATAGTGGAGTTTGGCGCTGCAGATAACCCACGGTATCTCATATTCAGCTGTTAAATCCATTCAGAATCTATTCCATTTGGCATAGCAGTAATACTATACAACCATTATAGGTGGACCTTAACAGAAAGATGGTACTTAGTTTGTTCATGGACTCTTGCTATGATTGTTCCGACCAACTCTATCACAGATGCATCTGAGAGAACTAGACTGGTGAGGATGAGGTCACGTAGCTTTATCCTTTATGACTGCTATGACTTTCAAAGCTCAGTCAGCTGTGATGCTGCCAAGCCACTTGTTGTGATGGATACTGCAGTACCCCACGTAGTATATATTCCAAGCCCTGTTATGCTCAATCTTTCTTCAACAAGAAAGAGTGCTGATCCATAAGCTGACAGTTCAGTAGGTGGTAATCAGCAGAAGATTTCCTTGCATCTTAGACACCATTGTATTCCAGAATCAGAATTGAGAACACCCAGGACCAATCCCTCCCTAACCATCACTCTGTCTGGTGGGACAGAATATAACTCAGGGATGGTGATGGAAGAGTCTGGGACATAGTTGAAAATTTACTTCTTATGAGTAGGACTATGTTAAACAGTTTGTCTAGTCTGGAGAACATCTTTTCCAATTTTGATGCAGTTCCCAATGTTCATGTGGAGGACTTTATAGGATCTCCTCGGCTGGATGTGCCTTTATCACAACCAGTGCCTGGCTCAATCCATTTGGTCTTTAAGTACCTACTCACAACTGTAAAATTAACAAAACAGGTCACTGCTATGGGTCTGTAATCATGTACAGGTCAGATAGGGTATGAATGGCAGGTTTCCTTCAGATACGTTTTATGACAATCTGGTAGTTTCATGGTCACCATTGCTTTTTATTCCAGATTTATCTAATCGGCTAAATTTAAATTTCCCAGCTGTCATTGCAGTATTTGAACCTTGTGATTCTAGATCATTAATCCAGGCTTCCGAATTACTAGTTGATTAACATAACCACTTATGCTTCCATATGAGGACTGATATTCCTCATAAACTGAAATTTACATATTGACCATGCAATTGAATACGATACTCTGCAATAAAATTCAACGTCTCATGAACTGCCCACCATGATTTCCTGTCTATTTTCAAATATCACACTGGTTGGCCAATATACTCAAGCTAAAAATAACAGTTTTAATTTATTTACAAACAGGTGAATTACACAATAAGAAAGACATTGCAAAATGCCATATTGTACATGTGTTAACAAGACAATTGTTTTAAAACAAATTGCTGTATTTTCCAGTAAATTTTGTATTAAATTAATGATTTCTTTGATGTAAAATCAGGCTTTGTTGAAGGACAGACTCACTTTTTTCTGAATGGTTAGCCAATCTGGCTAGAGATGAGATTTTTTTAACCACTTGAGTTGAGGCAATAATAGCAGTTAGCTTGTTGTTTGCAGTATAATTCACACTGGGCACACAGCCTGTGTTCTCACCAATGTAACATGCTGCCACCTCCTCTCCCCCAACATGTTAATTTCCAACACACCAGCCTTCAATGCTTGCAACAGAATCTAACTGGAATGTCTGATATAATTTTTATGAAGCTGTGTTGCTATACAGATTTCGCAATTGGAATTTCTCTTTTTAAATTTCTTTCTGCAAGACATTACAAATAACTAAAATTGAGTTAAGAAAGATACGGTCAATATTGCACTTGCAAATATGAAAGGTTTTAAATTAATATTTTTTTTGTTTTTATGTCCTCAAATGTTGCTTCTGCCTTATAATGGCAATGACATTGAAGGATCATTTGCACAAAGAGAGTATCTCTATCCATTTCTTACTATCTCTGAGCTTTGTAGTAGCCTTCTTGAGTAGGGCCAACAGAAGTTTATTTTGCATCCCATGTTTTGCTTGCTCCAGTACCTGTTTTTTTTCAGATGAGAATTCATCTACCATTGGAAAATAATATAATATTTTGGCTTCTAAATGTTTCATTAAAATTGAAATGCTTAGGAACAAAACTGTCTTGGTAACATTCAAACTAGCTAGTTTTGATAGTTATTTTTCACAATTAATATTTCATCTCCATGACTCAGAAGGAATAGTAAATACTTGTCATGTTGGTGTTTTATAATGTTTATTGATGAGCGAAAGCTAATAGAGCACAGTTTAAAATAATTCTGGGTGGTAGAACATTGATATATTCAGATGTCGTCACACAGATTTGTAAGATATGAGCTATGACCTATACCTGTCCTGTAGTAAGATACCAAATAGAGATGGGGTATTCCTTGGGCGATTGTTCAAATCAACCAGTAGATCTACAGTGAACAAAAACTGAAAGAACTGCGGATGCTGTAAATCAGGAACAAAAACAGAAGCTGCTGGAAAAGCTCAGCAGGTCTGGCAGCATCTGTCAAGAAATAATCAAAGTTAATGTTTTGGGTCCGGTGACCCTTCCTCTGAACTGATGGTAGTTGGGAAAACGTCGGTGTAAATGCAGAAAATAGAGAGGGGGATGGGGTAGGGAGGATAAAGGGTAGAGCCTGAAGAAAGAGAAGAGCAGTTGGATAGACAAAGGAGTTGATAACGATCTGGTTAAAGGGTGAATAGCTATTAATGGGGACTGTTAGTGACTAACAATAGGTAATGCGTAATGGCAGGCTGTGTGATCACAAGGCCTGGTGTGTGGGAGAGTTTAGGCCCTAAAGTTATTGAACTCGATATTGAGTCCAGAGGGCTGCAGGGTCCCAAAGCGGAAAATGAGGTGTTGTTCTTCCAGCCTCTGTTGAACTTCGCTGGAACACTGCAGCTAGCCAGAGACAGAGATGTTGGCCAGGGAACAGGGTCGTGTGTTAAAGTGGCAGGCAACTGGAAGCCCAGGGTCTTTTTTGCAAGCAGAACATAGATGTTCTACGAAGCGGTCACCTAGTCTACGCATCGTTTTCCCCAATGTAGAGGAGACCACATTGTGAGCAGCGAATACAGTAGACTAGATTCTGGGAAGTGCAGGTGAAGTGTTGCTTCCCCGGAGGGTATGTTTGGTTCCTTGGATACTGGGGATGGAGGAGGTAAATGGTGAGGTATTGCACCTTTGCCAGTTGCAGGGGAAGGTGCCATGGGGCTGTTGGGGTGAGGGGTGAGGGGGTGCGGGCTGTGGTATTTGGAGTGAAGGAAGAATGGACCAGGGGTATCCCGGAGGGAATAGTCCTTGCGGAAGGCAGACAAGAGAAGGAAGGGGAATATGTGTCTGGTGGTGGCACCTCGCTGAAGGTGGTGGAAATGGTGTCTGATGCTCTTCTGGATGTGGATGCTGGTGGGATGGTAGGTAAGGACAAGAGGAACCCTATCACTGTTGCAGGGGGGAAGAGAAGGGGTGAGGGTGGAAGTGTGGGAGATAGGTCGGAGTTGGTTGAGGACCCTGTTGACAACGGTGCTGGCAAGTCCTTGGTTGAGGAAGAAGGTGGACATTTTGAAGGCTACTATGTCGAAGTTGGCCTCATCTGAACATATGCAACGGAGACGGAGGAACTGAGAGAGTGGGATGGAGTCTTTACAGGAAGTAGGGTGTGAGGATGTATAGTCCAGGTAGCTTTGAGAGTCAATGGGTTTATAGTGGATATTAGTGGCCAGTCTATCCCCAGAAATGGAAACAGAGATGTCATGGAAGGGAAAGGAGGAGTCAGAGATAGACCAGGTGAAAGTGAGGGCAGGATGGAAATTGGAAGTGAAATCAAAGAACTTTTCCAATTCCGGACAAGAGAGGGAAGCAGCACCGATGATATCGCCGATATATCGGAAAAAGAGTTGTGGGTGGGGGCCGGAATAGGACCAGGACAAGGAATGTTTTACGTACCCCACAGAGACAGGCATGACCGGGGCCCATGCGGATACCTCTGGCCCCTCTGATCTGAAGAAAATTAGGAGTTAAAAGAGAAGTTGTTGAGCGTGAGGGCGAGCTCGGCTAAGTGGAGGAGGGTAGCGGTGGGTGGGGTTGGTTCAGGTCTTTGCTCCAGGAAGAGGCAGACAGCCCTAAGAGTCTCCTGGTAGGGAATGGATGTGTAAAGGGATTGTACATCCATAGTAAAGAGGAGGCAGCTGGAGCCTGCAACTGGAAACTTTGAAACCAGCATAAAGTATTAGAGGAATCACGGATGTACGTGGGCAGGGTTTGGACCAGGGGAGAGAAGACTGAGTCAAGGCAGGAAGAGATGAGTCCTGTGGGGCAGGAGCAGGCTGAAACAGTAGGTCTGCCCAGACAGTCCTGTTTGTGGAGTTTTGGGAGAAGGTAGAAGCGAGCTGTGTGGAGTTGGGGGGTACTGTCAGCTTAGAGGTAGCAGAGGGGAGGTCACCAGATGAAATGAGATCAGTTACTGTAGTTGATACAATGGCCTGATGTGTCATGGTGGAGTCATGGTCCAGGAGAAAATAGGAGGAGATATCTGAGAGCTGGCGTTGAGCCTCTGCAATGTAGAGGTCAGTACGCCAGATTACAACAGCACCGCTCTTATCAGCTGGCTTAATAACTACAGTGTAAATCTACACTACTTCTCCAAGCAGCTGCTTAGAGAGTTCATGACAATTGTATGGGAACTTGTCATCTGTCTAATTTTATTCATCAGACTGCAAAATAACTAGAACAGGAAAGAGGCAAATTTAGAATTTGCTTAAAGTGTGTGTTTTCTCCTTAGTGAATTATGACGTTAGCACAGCCAGGGAAATATTGCTACTGGCATGCTCTCAGGACGAACAGAAAAGATGGATTGGACATTTAGTGAAGAAGATTCCTAAGAATCCACCAGCCTCCACCTTTGTGCGTGCTTCTCCTAGGACTTCTTCCACAAGATCAGCAGCAAACCAATCTTTTCGCAAACCTGCCAAACATGTTGTCCCAATCAAGCCCAGGTAATATATTCGGTGAAAAGTTTTATTTCAAATCTGTACTTCTGGAAGATGACAAAATTGAATTCATTGATTTACAGTTTTCATGGAAAAGTGAATAAAGTCATAGAATATAGTCCCACAAACATTGAAGAATATCCTGTCATCTGAAACAGGTGAAATTAAATTGATTTATTCACTAAATCAATGAGCCTGAAAATGACAGTTCAGTTGAGTATAACAGTTTGTTTATGCCACGTTTACACCTGTGGACCTGTACACCTCCAAATTAATCCCCTTTATGGTACCTGCTAAGAGTTTTAAATGCTTTCATGAAAGGAAGAAGCCCAAGAATTATGCAATAAAAAGTTGAAATTCTGCAAAGTCTTAAAGTAAGACGTAAAATGAATGCAAATAAAAGCAGTGACTTTAACCACTACTCCCATTTCGAACATCAAAAACAAAGAAACTTGCAATATATAGTGTTGGAGGGATTTCTGAATTCACATTATGATGAATTAAATGCATCTGGTGCTCTCATTATAATTCTGCAGTATCTCCTGCACCAGCCAGTTTACACACAAGATCCCACAAATAGTTTGAAAATAAATGACTAGTTAATCAATTTTGTTAATGTTAGTTGAGGGATAAATGCTGGCCAAAACATTGGGACAACTTTTGTGTTCCTTTTCCAACAGTCTATTCACTTGTACATACTAATCTAATTTAATCAACTCCGTAATGCAGTGAAATGTCAAACTAGACTGTGTACTCAAACGTTCTATCTCAAAGGTAGAACACTACCATTGAGCTAACTCAATATTCCAGCTACTGCAGTTTTATAAAGTACAATTAAGTCATATGTGAGAATTACAAGCTGATAAAATAATAGCTGAGACATTTGGTGTCATGACAGAATTAGTGCATAAAGATTTAGGAACATATGAAAATTGGAGAAGAAGTTAATTATTAAGTCCCTCAATTGTGCTCTGTCATTCATATAGATCATAGTTGATCTTCTACCACAGTACCATTTTGCCACACTGTCTCATATCCCTTGATATCTAGAAATCTATCACCCTTCACCTCAAATATACCTAATGACTGGGCCTCAACAGCCCCCTTGGCACAGAATTCCAAAATTCATAACCTTGAGTGAAGAAATCCCTGTTCATCTCAGTCGTCTTATTCTGACATCTGTCTCCTGGTTCTCGACACACCTGCAGAAACACGCGCTCACACCCAAATCAGGGGAAGCATCCTTTCCCCATCTACCCTATTGAGCCTTGTCATAATTTTATGGGCTCTAATGAGATCACCTGTTGTTTTATCTGACTTGGATAAGGAGTCCAAAACTGTACACGGTACTCTAGGTGCTATTTCACTAAAGCTGTATACAATAGCAGCAAAATTTCTTTATTCCTGTACTCAAATTTTCTCAACAACAAAGGCCCAACATACCATTTGTTCTTCTAATTGCTTGCTGCACCTGCAGGTTAGCTTTCAATAATATGCTGGTAGGATCCCAGGCCAGATTGCCAAATTTACATTACAATCTGGCTAGGAGGCAGTAATGGTTTTTCAAAATTGGACAAGATTCCATAGTTTTGAATAAATTTTACAACATAAAGTTGGAATGGTAATATAATCTATAACATATACACAATTTATATTCAACAATCCAGAATTAACATGAGATAAGTATGGGTAAAATACATACTGTAGGCAGACACCCCACATCAAATAGCATATGCATCCAAGACTGACTCCATGGATTCTTCAGCAGTCCCCCAGACTGCTGTGATACAGTGTTTATCAATCAAAGCTTATTAAACTTCAAAAGAGAAGAAATTGGAATCTCATGTAAAGACTGAGCTTCAGAACTCATAGGATCACGGAATCATCCAGTGCAGATAGGCCTTAGGCCCATCGAGTCTGCACTGAGACTTGAGAAGAATCTGACCTTCAATTTAATCCCATTTACCAGCTTTTGGCCCATAGCCTTGAATATTATAACATGCCAAGTGCTCATACAGGTACATTTTAAAGGATGTGAGGCAATTCACCTCTACCACCCTCCCAGGCAGTACCTTCCAGACCGTCACCCACTCCCTGGGTAAAAACATTTTTTCTCACATCCTCCCGAGCCTCCTGCCCCTCACCTTGAACCCATACTACCTTGTGACTGGCCCTTCAACTAAGGAAAACAGCTGCTTCTTGTCCTCTCTGTCCATGCCCCACATAATCTTGTCGGCCTCAATCAGATTGTCCCTCAGTTTTCTCTACTCCAGTGAAAACATCCCAAGCCTATCCAATCTTTCCCTCCACCTTAAATTTTCCATCCCGTGCATCATCCTGGTGAATCTCCTTTGCACTCCTCCCACCCCCCCCACCTCGCCACCACCACATGCAATCACATCCTTCCCGTAATGTGGAGACCAGAACTGCACTCAGTACTCCAGCTGTGGTCTCACCAAAGTTCTATAAACTCCAACATGACTTCCTTGCTTTTATAATCTATGCCTTGAAAGATAAAGGCAAATGTCCCATTTGCCTTTTTCACCACCCTACTAACATGCCATTCCACCTTCGGAGATCTATGGAAAAACATGTTAAGAACCCTTTGTTCCACAAAACTTCTTGGCATCATGCATTCATTGAATACTTTCTTGTCAGAATACTCCTTCCAAAATGTATCACCTCACACTTTTCAGGGTTAAATTCCATAACAACATGGGCCTGCCCAAGATTTGATCCCAGGACTTCTGGCTAATCAGCTTAACACAAGTCAGAAACATATACGCACAAATGCATCGCCCGAACAGGGACTTGAATCATGGAGCCTCAGGTGGAAAGCCAGATGTTCTATCGACTTGAGCTATCTGGACTCTCAACTCCCTGAAAAGCTACTCTGTTATCGACTGCTTCAATGATTTCTCACATTCTGGTACTTCACCCTGTCCAATTTTCTCATCTTCAGTTTCTTGGTCATGTTTTAATGAATTCTGAAATGCTCCCAACCCTCAAGCTTGCTATTTTTTTTGACTATTTTTATATAAGCCTATTCTTTCATATGAAATCAATATTTAACTTATTAGCCATGGCTGGATCATTCTTCCTGTTAAAATTTTGTAGCTCAAAAGAATCTAAAGTCCCTCTTCTGCACCATCTTACTAGCTATGCATTCATCTGTTCAAGCCTTCTAATTCTGTGCTCACTTGCATGTAGCAACAGGATGTTGTTCTTGATCATTTTCTTCCTAGCTCATGAAATTCTGACAACATCCTCTTTCCTAGTTATGTCATTGCTATCAATGTGGACCACAACTTCTGGCTGATCAACATTTCCCAGGAGAACATCCTGTAGACACTCTGTGACCTTCTTGAGCTTGACACCAGAGAGGCTATATTACCACCCTGGAGTCATGTCTGACTACAGAAATGCATATATCTCTTCCCCTAACTAGTGCATCCCTTAATTAACAAATGCCCTTTCGTGACTACTCTTCTGCTCTTCTTCCTTCCCTTCTGTACAGCTGTGCCATCTCAGTGCTATGGACTTGGCTTTTGCTCCGAGGAATTATTGCCCTCTTCCATGTCCAGAATGGAAAACCAATGAACACAAAAAGTAATGCAGGAGTCCCCAATTCAATTAACCTAGTTCTCTTGGCCTGTGTAGCTGTCCCCCATCGTCTGCATTTTCCTTTGGAGTATTGTGACCACCTCCCTAAGAGTGTTATATGTGTAGTCCTCTCCCTTGAAAATACTATACAGTAACTCCAGCGGCCAGTCATGCTCCAAAACAAGAACTCAGGTTTCAGCAGCTGGTGACACTTCCGGCACGTGCTTACCTAGGTCGCATGAAGGGTTCACATCTCCCTGCATGCCACAGGATTCCATGTAGCTGAGTTGACCTAGCATACCTTAAGGTTACTTTTGGACTATTTATTCCAAGATGAAGATTGGAAAATAGAATTGCTTACCAATTAGGTTCTTCTCCAATGTCTATAAAATGAATACTCAAAAATGAGAGTAAACCTGATTTGTAAAAGGTGAGAGAAGTTTACGTAAGGAAGAGCAAAAGACACCGCCTTCCCTTTCTCTCTAATTCTCTCAATTCACCAAACTCCTTGGCACCTGTTTCAGTTGCAGTCAGTGCACAGCTCCCATTGTAGATGAAAGCCTTAGGAGCCTTGCATTGTGTATGATTTATTAGAATGAAGTAAGAAAGTAAAAGAAAATTTTTCAAAGAAAAATGGAGGTAAAAGGCATCGATGAGGAAATAGATATTTTTAAAAACTTTATTCAAGTGATTGTGGATGTTGCTGGCTAGGCCAGCATTTATTGCTTATCCTTAATTGTTCCGTTGAAGGTATTTAAGAAGCTGATCATCCAGTGACGCCCTGTTGCACATTTAACAGTAGAATTCCTGGTATTCCTACAGGATAAAAGGCTTCAACCGTAAGATACTATACTACAGAGCCGCCAGGTACAGGAAGTCTAGAACTGAACAAAAAGGCCTAAATTGGACAGATTGAGACATAAAATATTACTGATGGAAAGACTGTGCTTTCATTTTGCAGTTACTTGGAAATAGTAATTTAGTCTGTTAATCAGAGGTTCCATAATGAGGGAAACCATAGATTATTCTGTGTTCAAATAAAATGCATTATTTTCTTGATTCTTTGCTGCTTTTGGTAGTTTTTTTTCATATTTTAGCTACTGTGTTCAAGTAGATGTCAAAGTTCTGCTAACCATGATTTTTGTTTCATATTTCAGCTAACCTCCAGTGGAATAGGGTCAAAGATTCTTTACGAAACCAGTTTTTTGAAGGTCACAAAGTAGTGCAAAACGGATTTGATTCCTTCCAATGCAAACATTACAAATGTCAGGGTTGCAATTTTTGTTTAACCCTTGCCTCCATTCCCCAGTTCCCCAATCCTGCTGTGATCTAAGTATGGAGAAGACTATTCACTGTGTTACCCACATTACCATAGTTTTTCTTTTAACAATTGCAATGGATAAAGCATAGCTATAAATAAGATGCTTTTTTTTTTCCTGTAAAACACCAAGATAGATCATTGTGAAATTGCTCACTGAGCTTTCATTATTGTATCATTTAAATAAGTAAGGGATAGGGCAGTTGCACTTGCGGGAATAACTTTATGCTAATTTGGAGGGAAGGTGTGGAATCAAAGTACTGAAAATACAAGAAGGGGACAAGATGGAACTACTTTGAAGATGGTCTAAAATGCTTGAGAAGATCAATGATGTCTTGAATCTGTCACGCCTTCAGTTTAGATCTATTGAGAGATCTCAGGCCTAAAATCTTTTGCATTTAAGATGGCAAAGTTTGGTGAACTTATATAAGTATTTAGAAATTTTACTGTTCCAAATGCTTCAAATGAAAATGTGTGGAACTGAGAAAAATGAACAATGTTTCACTCTTGATCTAGGCATTTTTGCTAAGCCATAGTGGTTCATGATTGATGAACAGCTAGAAATAACAGAAGCATGAGGAAAGTAACAACAACTCAGAGCAATCAGGATTGTGACTATACTGGGGTACACACATTTTGTAATTTTATAAATATATTGCCTTATAATTGCAAATAGATTCTTATCAGATGGTGGACAACATTAACTTAACAGATAAATTGTGCACTGTTTTAAAACATAAATTATTCTGCTGAAGACACTTTAACAGGAATAATGTCCTGTTAGTGCCTTGATTTTGAAGAACTTTTACTGCCATATACTTAATGCATCATAATTTCAAATAACTGCATCTACGTAAACATTTTCCTTTGGATTGTGAAATGTATTTTAAAGATTTTATTTTGGATATAATTTTGAATGGAATGTGATGGTGAATAAACTGCCTGTAAAGAGTGGGAATTATTCATAGGAAAATATGCAGGAAACTTGAACTGTAGAAGGCATTAATTAAGATTTGTTTCTGTGAATTATTTCAGGAGTCACTCCCGTAATATAGGAATTGTTGTATTTGCTGTTTTATTTCTTGCCAGTCGACAGGAACACATTCAAGATATGGTTTACTTCACCCAGTACCTCCCAAAATAATTTATAATAGCTTTGCAGTTACATGTATTAAAGCACTGGAAATTGGATCTCTGTTTTAGGATGACGCATGTTTTAAATGATACTGAATGTCGCACTGATGGGTATGTACCAATAAACATATCTTAACTACATGTATCTGCCTGATATTGATATTGTGGGAAATGCTTCTTATAGACATTGACTACAGTAGAAAAGTAAGGCATTGCCTGTCAAATGTCTAGCATGAATCTTTGTTATTGAAGCATGAATGTATGATTCACTAAAGAAAAATTGTTGCATACGGCTGCTATTTTACACACAGTCCCACTAATAAAATTAAGATAAATAATGAGTTTAAACTACTTTAGTAACACACATTGAGGGGCGAATGAGGAGTCAGAACATCCTGCAACATTTTGTATGCACCTGAATATTCTAATAGTGTCTCAGTTTCATTTCTCTTTTGAAAAATGGAATCTCCAACAATGTAGCACTCACACTATACCAAACAACTGTCAACCCCCATTCCCTACTCCCACCCTACACCTTCCCATTTAATCACAGAAGGTGTAACACCTGCCCATTTACCTCCTCCCTCCTCAACATCCAAGGCCACAAACATCCCGTCCAGGTGAAGCAGCAATTTACCTGTACTTCATTCAATCTAGCCTACTGTATTTGCTGTTCACAGTGTGATCTCATCTATGTTGGGGAGACAAAATGCAGATTGGGTGATTGTTTTGCAGAACATCTGTGTTCTGTCTTCAAAAATGACCCACAGCTTCCAGTTGTCTACATCTTAAATACATGCACCATTGCCACACATCAACCTCTCTGTTGCAGGCCTACTGCAGTGTTCCAGCGAACCTCACTTTCCGCTTGGAGATTTTGCAGCCTCTAGGACTCAACATAGAGTTCAATAACTTTAGAGTCTAATTCGATCCTTCCATGTTTTCTTACCCACCTCAGACCTGATCCTGTTACGACAGGGTTGCTTTTAGCACAGTAACCAATTCTCACCTACTCCTAGACCCATTATCACATTATATGGATTGCTTTTAGTACAGCTCGCCCCATCTCTCCTACTCTTCGCTCTTATTATCACCTTATTCAGCTTTTCTTGGGTCCTGGACTGCTAGCCATAATCTTCTTGTTTACCTACCCTTTTCATCACTATCTCTCTCTGGGCTCAATCTCCACCTATCCACTTGCCTCTCCTCTCTCCCCCACCCTCAACTTCACCTTCAGCATAAATACTTTTTCCAGCTGCTAACAGTTCTGATGAGGAGTCACCAGACTCAAAACTTTAACTCTGCTTTCTTTCTACAGATGCTGCTTGACTTGCTGAGTTTTGCCAGCAAAACCTTATCCAAGGTAAAAATAATTACTTGACATTGAAACATTTTTATGTTTAAGGGATAATACGTGCCTTTTGGAAACTGAAAGAACTGCGGATGCTGTAAATCAGAAACAAAAACAGAAGTTACTGGAAAAGTTCAGCAGGTCTGGCAGCATCTGTGAAGAGAAATCAGAGTTAATGTTTTGGGTCCAGTGACCCTTCCTTTTGGGTCATCAGACCCAAAACGTTAACTCCTTTATGTGCTTTTTGGAGTAGGTCTCAGAAATAGCAGGAACTCTAAAAGCAATAGTCCCTTCAAACATTAAAGAATAATCATCATTAGGTTTCTTAGCATCACAGAATGATACAGCATTGAAAACGACCATTAATGCCTGTGGCAGCTCTTTAAAAATACTTTTCAAATGGCCCTACTCTTGCCCCATAGTTGTGCAAATTTTTAAAGTATCTTGTTCCCTTTGAAAATTATCTCTAAATCTGCTTCCACCACCATTTCAAACACTGCATTCCAGAATTTAAAAACCTCACTTTTTTTATATCATGTCGCCTTTGATTCTTTTGCCAGTTACCTTTATAGAAACTACATAATACAAGTTCCTGTTTTCCAAGGCCAATTTCATATTTGTGTTACCAGTACTCCGTTAAACCATTGGCTTCAATTTGTTGACAAGTATACTTTGTAGAAATATTTTTTGGAAGTCAAATTGAAGAGAAGTTTGAAAGATCATAAGGAAAGAAAAGAGTAGTAGTGAAGAGGCAAATGATAATCAGTGTGACAGAAATGGCAGAAAAATATAAGCAGAAGAATGCAACAGAAATGAGAGCCAGAATAAGTATTAAGGGTAAAAGGTGAAAGGTTAAAGCTCTTTATCTGAAGGCACACAGTATTTGTAACAAGATAGATGAGCTGATGTCACAAACAGAAATAAATGAATATGACTTGAAATTATCAGAGGGCAGCAGTGAGAAGCAACTGAGCAGAATCCTGGGAGAAGTCAGCTGAGTCACCGCGTCTGAGAAGGGGATCGTGGAGGACCGGGTACTCAATAGGAGGAAGAATATCCAACAGAGGGCGGTGATGAGAAACAACCGAGGAGGATTCTGGGTGAAGTCAGCTCAGTCACCGCAACTGAGAAGGGGATAATGAAATGCAGTTCTTGAATTAGAATCTGTATGGTTGGAGGTGATAAGGAGGTGGTGTAGCAAATGTTATGTACATAACCATTCCCCTAACTAATCTGTCCTTCCCAGTGGTAAAGAGTGAGTGGCTGGCAGTCCTACAGCAGCTCCCACTGCTGATGGTGATGTTCTGGCCAGAGACTTCAACCGCATCGTCGATGCGGGTGGACGATCTAGAGGGGCTGACGAAAAACAGAGTGCCACATCCAAATTCCTGATGGAAACAGTTAAGGTCACCAAGCTGCATGAGATCTTCAGCACTCTTGTTGACAATGCGCAGCGTAGATACATCTGGCCACAGCCAGATGGGTCTATCTGCTCAAGGACAGATTTCCTATTGCATCCCACAAGCTCTCAATCAGATCCACTGACATAAAGTGGGTGTTCTTCTCTGACCACTGCCTCCTGCTGGTCAACTATCACCTACAGGACAACCAGTGGGCCAGCAAGGGAATGTGGAAGCTGAATGTAATATTGCTGATCCCAGAAAACATTGAGGAGCTCAAAAGGGATTACACAGATTGGAGAACTGTGAAGCCCCTCTTTTGAGTCTCCAGCAAACTGGTGGAAAACAGTCAAGGGGAACATCAAGAGGTTCTTTATCCCCAAAGGCATTCAGGAGGCAAGAGAGAAATGGGGTAAACTGTCCAATTCCAGAAAAGCATGCAGAACCTACTTCTGACACAGATGATGGAGGTTGATGTCACAGAGGTTCTCCAAGGGATGAGGAGCCAGCAAACCTCGCTTTTTGCCTCAGTGTCCTCCAAGATAATCTACCAGTCCAGGGTCCGCACCGTGGAGCAGGATGAGATGTGCTCGCGTTTCTTCATCCTCAGTGTGATATTCTGAAGATCAGCAAATTCTTTTATGCTGGATTGTTTGACACAAAGCCGACAGTGTGGCCTCCCAGTTATTCCTGTCCTTTATCATTTAGATGATAGCACGTAGGAGAGGCTGGACCAGCCGTTACATCTAGATGAGGTGACCAAGGCCTTGAGTCCTTAGAAAAGAATAAAACTCCCAGAATCAATGGCTTACTAGCTGAGTTGTATTCAGCTCTGTGGGACTTGATTAGCCAGGACTTGCTAGAGGTGTGTGACAGTATACTTCTGGCAGTTGGCATGTGCGAATCCATGAGGAAAGATATCATCATCACAAGCAGAAGGAGGAAAGGAAGGAACTTAGAAATGGCAATCATTTCAAAATCCTGTCTAAGGTCATTGCCGCCCAGGTCAGGCCTGCTGAGATCAGTGATTCACCCCGACCAAACCTGTGCTGTACCGAGCAAGATGACCTCTGAGAACCTCGCGATACGATTGCCTATGTGCAGGAGAAGGGAGTGGTTGGTGCCTGCCAGGAGATCTTTTACAGTATATCACACACCTGTATGTTCTCTCAAATGGGTTTTGGGGAGGGAATCCGTAATTGAATCCAACTACTCTACACTAACGTCAGTAGTGCAGTCTCAATCAACGGGTGGGAACGTAAAGTTTCCAATCAGATCCAGAGTCAGGCAGCCTGCCTTCTCCTGCCTTGTTTGTATGTTGTACAGAGCCTTTTACTGAATCCTTTAGTCAGGATGCGAGCCTGAGAGGGTTGACTGTTCAAGGCAGCTGAGGCCTGCAGGTCAAAGCCTCCCTGTACTTGGATGACTTTGCCATTTTCTGCTCAGATAGGCTGACTGTGCACAGACTCATGGGCATCTGCAACCATTCAAACTGGTCTCGGGAGACAAGAGCGAGGCCATGTTATTTGAGAAACAATCCTTTATTCCCTTCACTGTCAGGACAGATTACCCAAAGATGCTGGGAATATGGTTTGGAGGGGCTGGGGGCGTGTTAAAAGCTTGGGAGGAACGTATTGCCAAGGTGAGGCAGAAACTGGACTTTTGAGAACACCACTCCCTCTCCGTTGTGGGGAAAAATCTGGTCATCACATGTGAGGCACTCCGTTGTACGTGGCACATTTCTGCCCCGTTCCCAGAACCTGTACTGTTGCAGTCATCTAAGCCATCTTCCACTTCAGCTGGAGGCCTAAGATGGATGGACAAAACTCTGGATAAGGTAGGGGGGGGGAAGAACTTACACCCCCCCCCCCTTCACTTCAACACCACCCTCATCCTGATGGCAACCTTTGTGTGCATCAAGCTGTGCATAGACCCTCAGTACACAAAAACTAAGTGTCACTTTGTACCTGTCCCTGCTATTGAGAAGGATGGGTCTGGCCTCATTGCCATGGAACGTTCCAAGTAGTCACCTGTCCTTCATTGAGAAGTTTGCAAAGAAAAGCAAACCACAAGTCCATCAGGAAGTGGGTCAGCATGTAGCTTCCTCAAGATCATAATGGCACAGAATCATACAGCACAGAAAGACAGTACAGACCACCGTCTAAGGTCTTTCTTACAAAGTTAAACTGGAGTCTGTTCAGTTATCAGACCCTCCCAATGCCTCAAATATATGTAAATATAACTTTGTACAAGTAAGAAAAGCCTTTTGTTTGTTAGCCGGATACAATCAAACTCAAATATTTGTTTGTTTCTTCATTTGCTGCCGTATAGAACCAAACTGCTTTAGTGACTGTGTATATAAATAAAAATATTTTTATGAATAAAGTATA